GGATTACAGGTATGCGCCACCATGCTTGGCTCCATCTCTGTTTTTTTTTTTTTTTTTGGTTTTTCTCCGGTACCGGGAACCGAACTCACGACCTTGCGCTTGCCAGGCAGGCGCTTTGCCGCTGAGCTAAATCCCCAGCTCCCCGTCTCTGTTTCTTAAACCAAATGGTTAATGCATGTTGCCATGATACCTTAAGAATTCTAAGAAAAATGGCTGGAGGCAGAGGTGGACAAATCCATGGGTGGATAGAGGGATGGTGGTATAGATCTCCATCTTCAAGATAAAGCAGGAGGCAAGGGCCATCTTTTTACTGAGCTCCCTTCGTGTATTGCTCAAAGATTTATTCTCAAGAAATATACATTGTGCCCCTTGTTCAGGGTCTATTGGTTTACACCCAGGGCAATGCCCACAGTACAGCTTTATCTTTCTACCTGGCTTTGGGGCCACTTTCTGAGAGCCACTTCTCCATCTTTAATGTCGTCCCCATTCCATATATATCTCTGATCTTTTAGAAAACTTTCTTTCTCATCACCCATCAGCCCATGCACATTTTTCTCCCTAGTTCCTAAAACAGAGAAGAAGATATACATGGTGCCTGCCCTGATGTCTCTAACATCCAAATAAATGGATAAAACCAGAGTCAAATGTATATGCATAAGTGGTAAAAATAACAATGTCATACTTGTGCCCTTTTGTTACTTCATTTATTGACTACTAAGTGGTTGGTTGTAAACTTATTAGTGAACTTACCATGTTCTCCTTAATGCATTTATTTAGTCCCAAGTGCACAGGGAGAAGTCATGCTAATAGTGTTGATCAAATGTAAAGATTACTTATTCTTAGAGGCGTAGAGAATACGTTTCCTATCAGAATGTAACGACTTCCACACCATTCATTTGCAACTGACTTCATCCAGTTCCTAAAGTATATATCTGAAGTCCTCATACCACTGAATGAAGGAAGGCATATCTTCTTGCTCAAAATCCTGGAGGCAGCAGCAGGTACACCCTAGATATGGAACTCAGGACTTTGGGGTTTCAAAGGCTCATCTTTTTCTCCTGCCCTTCAAGCAATGCAGACTGTAAGCACATTGAGAGTGAATGTCTAGGCAGCATTTTACAGCTTTACATGGAGCTCTGCTAGCACATTTAAGACATGCGTGCAGTAATTTATCTACAGATACACTACACATGTATGAAAGGATGGAAGGACAGAGAGAAAATAGCTATTGTTCGCCAAAGCAAGTGACTGGGTACAAAATAAGTCGCCATTAATTAATTTATAACCCATCTATTCAGATGATGTGGCTGTTAAAAAGAAGGAGGCTTACAGATATCTTTTACTATTTTGTGGTGCTGGGAATAGAACCCAGTGTCCCATGGATACTAGGTAAGTACTCAACCACTGAACTATATGCAGTCCTTTTAAATTTTATTTTGAGACGGAGTCTTGCTAAATTGCCCATGCTGGCCTCAAACCTGTGATCTTCCTGCCTCAGCCTCCTCAGTATCTGAGATTACAGGTGTATGCCACCATGTCCAGCTGTAGCTCTTAAAAGAAAAGTCAGCGTGGCTGGAACCTGGATAACAAGGGAACAGTCAACTGGAAGAATCCTTTATTTTTTTGAGATTCTTGCTGTTTTGCCTATGCTGGTCTCAGATTTCTGGGCTCAAGTAAACTTCCAGCCTCAGGTTCCCAAATAGCTGTATTGCTGTGCCTAGTACTTAGAAGAATCCGTTAGCCTTTTTGGGAGGAAGGAAGTACAAAGAAATCAGAATACATATTGCAGCCCAGTGTGGTGGTGCACGCCTATAATCCCAGCACTCGGGAGGCTGACGCAGGAGGATTCTTGCAAGTTCGAGACCAGCCTGGGCTACAAAGTGAGCTTAAGGCCAGCCTGAACTGCATAGCGAGACCCTGTCTCAAAAAGAAAAAAAAATACATATTACAAGAGCTCTGTAGTCACAGATTCAGTTGTTGGCTTGGGACAAGAGACTCCACGAGGCTCTCTGAGTGTCCTTTCACTCTTGCCTCATGCAGAGAAGCCACAGGATTTCAAGATTTTGTTCTTAAAGAACAAAAGGTTCTAACCAAGTCCCTACAGTCTTGTTTCTTCATTTATGAGATGCCACAATGGCGCAATGGAGCAATCGCTTCTGCTGAAAGAGACGCTTTGGATGTGGAAGACAGGATATGCATCCTTGTTCTGGGCATTTATGATCTGTGTGACCTTGAGCAGGTCATTTCTCATTTCTGGACTTGTTTCCTGAAGATTCTGGAGATAACACATGTGATATCCCAAGAAGACATTTCCTTATTTATTTGTAATTTTTCTCCAGGCAAACACCTGGGTGTACTGATGACTGCCAGAGGTTCACAGACATTCATCGCCATGGCTGGCACAGGAACTTCTGCCTTCTGCGGAGGTGGTCTGGGTCTTGACACAGGCGTTCCACCCGCTAAAGCGACGCTGAGCCATTTCCCCTGCAGGAGGAGCGGCCCCTCACAGGAGGGCATCTGGAGGTCTGTTTCACGGAAGCTGAGGCCCCGGGGGTGTGAAAGCCTGGGCTTGGAGGAAAGAGTTGAACGTGGGTGAAGATGTGAGAGAAGAAACTTCACTGCATGGCTTTCAAAGCTATTATTAAGTTTCTTGACTATTACTCATTTTCTTAACTGTGAGGTTAACCCTGAATAAGTGGAATGGAATTCCAGGAAGGACAGTGACTCAGCTCACGAAAGGGACTATAAATTGGTGAGGAGCTTCTGACTGCTCTGAATGAATTCAGGCCCCACCTTCCCCATGACACCTCATTCTTTTCCCAACTCTTGCGTCTGCTTTTCTCTTTGCAGATTGGCCTCATTTTTCTTTCTAATCCTCTTGGCCTCCACCAGCTGGAATCAGAGATCACTTTGGGAAGAGGAAATCTAGTCTCTAACCTTGAGGTGTAAAATACTAGGGAAGGTCTCTGAGTGACTCAGCTGGGGTCCCATGCCTGTCCTTGGTCTAATCATAGTAGCCAACTGATGGGTCATTCTGATTATCTAGCTTGGGGCATCTGCCCCGCCACTGTGGCCAGAAGAGGCTTAACAGAAGGCTAGAAGAGGCTACAGTGGCAGCAAGGACAGCAGCCTCCTCCAAGCTCTGAGCTCTGTCGGCTTTAGAGGACGACAGAAACAGCACGAACCACAATCCTTGTGGTCTGGGACCTAAGATAATTGAGTGGAGGATGACGCGGATGGATCCTCACATGACAAAATGGTGAGGCTAACTCTTAACATGTGGGTTGTAATTGCGTGGAAGGACAGAGACAGCATCATAAAATAATGAGTTCTGTGAAGCCATGGGGGAGGAAGGAGCCCTGGGTCAGTGGTAAGAAACTGGGCTGACTTTCTATTGCTATAACAAAGTACTTAACCCCAGGTACTTGCTAAAGAAAAGAGGTTTTATCTAGCTCACAGTTCTGGAAGCTCAGGAGCATGGTGCCAGCACCTGCTCAGGTCTGGCCAGGGCCTCACAGCAGACAGTACACAGTGGTGGGAAGGTGTGCAGCTGTGTGAATGTCAAACTGGTACCTTCAGAAAAGCAGTTCAGAGTAGGCGCCAGGCTCCCCCGTCAAAATCCCTTCTCTCAGAAACTGATCCACTCTGCAAGATCAGCACCAACCCCTTCTGGGAGTGTAGCGGCCCCTTCGAATAATCTTCCACTCCATGCTACCTCTTAAATGGGTCACCCCCTCACTATGACAACATTGTGAACAAAGCAACAGCACAGGAATGTTTTCAGGACCACATCCAACATACCATCGAGCTTTTGAGAGCCCTGGAAGCCAGACAGGAAAGAACAGAGTCTATGCCACGGTATGTTCCATAAGCATGAAGAGAAATAGCCAGATAAGGAAGACCCTCTGCAGCCAGTGAAGTGGTCTCCACACTATTCATCGCCCCCCAGTGATCCCCAGTGGGTAGGAGATGACCATGCATATTGGCGTTCCCCACTGGGAGGCTGGGCTTTCCATTTTGGTTCCATCTCTGCCGGGGCTTCATTCACTTTGTACTAAGAGGACCCTCAAACCGCAGTGTGCGTAAGACACAGTGGAAACCTAAGTGAACATGATGTGGTGTCTGGGTGCATCTGCAGGTGGCTGGGGGTGGTTCAGTGGGTCTAAGGAAGGGTACAAGAGTCTCTTTTTTTGTTTTTTTTAGTTAGGGTCTTGCTGTATAGTTCAGGGTGACCTTAAACTCACTATGTAGACAAGGCTGGCCTCAAACTCGCAGCAATCCTCCTGACTCTGCCTCCCCAGTGCAGGGATTATAGGCGTGTGCCACCACGCCTGGCTCAGTATCTTTTTTCTTTCTGAGACAGGGGTTTACTATGTTGTGCAGGCTGGTCTTCTGCGATCTAGCAATCCTCCGACTAGACCTCCTGAACAGGTTGGACTAGACGTGCTCACCACTGAGCCTGCGTGAGTCTGTACTTTTACCCAGCTGCCGAGGAGGTGCTTCTGCTACAGGAGGGTGCAACATACTTGGAGAAAAGCCGCACAGCGTATCAGCGAGAGAATGGAGGAGGAGATTTTGTTGTGGTTCCAGTGTGATTGTCAATGTGAATTCTGGTTGTCTGCAGCAGCCTCTGCAAAAGAGCTGTGAGGGCGTTGGGGTCCAGAGCAGCACAAGGCACAAACTCTTTTGCTCCAGGACCTATTACAACTGAGTCAGAGATAACATGGATTAACATCACAGGAAGAAACTGCCGCACAGATTGCAATGCATGGAGAGGAAGTCCCCAGAAAGAGAGCACAGAGAATACTCCCCATCTCAGTCAGGAACACGGACTTCCAAGCAGCTGGAAAGTCTGATGAACACATGAGCAGAATAGGCAAAAGAAAAAAAAAAATTCCACGGGTTGGGAATGAACAAGAAGGAAAGGACTGGAAAGGAAAGAGTCGGAAGTCACAGAAACACCACAGGGAGGGATGGGAGAGAAAAAGAGACACAGGAAGTTCTTTTCAAAAGGCCACTTTATTGATGGAGATAAAACTGAACGGAGCTCTCCACAGCCCTCCCCTCACTCAGTCAGCGGCTTCACTGGGCGTCTGAGACTGGTGTGGCCGGTCGCCAGCCGGGGCGGGATAGCTTAGCCAGCTCCCTGCCCGCCTCAGTCAGGCGGCCACATAAAAACACGTCACAGCTAAGGACAATTCGCGGATGCACATCTGAATCCCCCTGATGATTTCTGCATTTTTCTTAATATTGTACAAAACATGTGAACTAGGAAAGGTTAGCTGTACTGTGCCATCTGTGGGACATCCTTTCAGGATTACCGTCCCCTCAACATCACTTCTTATTGCAGTAAAACCTCTAAAAGGTGCTGCTGTACAAAAAGAAAAATCTAGACGATTTTAAGAAGAGCAGCAGCTTAACACTGCTTTAGTAAATTTTCTTTCCCAAAAATACATTCCTAAATATACAAACTATACAATCTTGTCATTTTAATGCTGGTTTTTTGTATTTGTTTTATGTTTTTTGTTTTGTTTTGTTTTGTTTTTTGGAGTTTTTTTTTTTTTTTTTTTTTTTTAATAATAGAACCAAAACTAAAAAAGTCTGTTCGTTTTAAAACCAACAAGAGCGCTAGAGGACTTGTGACTCAGTACCTTCATGTAACACCACATAAATAAACTTTAGCCACAGTCAGCATTCACAGCGTGGTCTGTGGAACAAAGGAAATACTTTTCTGGCGATCAGACATCATCTGCTGAGAGGGCTGGGATATTCATCCGAGGCCGGGTGAAAAACGCCATCTTCTCCCTGTAAAACAGGCCATCTCAGGGGTTTCAATCTTACTTAATGGATGTTTTGGGTAGGACAACTGGGGAGCTGGGTGTGCTGGGGACTGACCCCTCCCCCTGCAACGAGGCATGCACTCTAGGTCTTGGGTTATAGGTTGGTGGGAGAGCACTTGCCTAACATGTGCAAGACCCTTGGTTCAATCCCAGTATCAAAACAAACCAGAACAAACCAAACCAAAGAATAAAGCATTCACTTTACTACTTTTTTTTTTTTTTTTGGTACTGGGAATTGAACTCAGGACCTTGCACTTGCCAGGCAGGTGCTTGTGCCACTGAACTATATCCCTGGCCTTCACTTTACTACTGAGCTATACTCCAAGCCCTGGGCAGGAAAATTCACTGTTGTAGGGGACTGTCCTGAGCTTTGTGGGATGTTTGGCGACATCGTTGGCCTCAACCTTGTAGATGCCAGGAGCATCACCAGCTTCTGACTGAGACAATCATTGGTGGTCATTGTCAAATGTCCCTGAGGCAGGAAGGACCAATAAAATCACCCCTGGTGGAACAACACTGCTTAAGTGGACCTGTTGGAATGACCAGCCATCTTTGGGGCCTCTCAGAATTTAAAAATGGTACTTGGGTCGCTTTGAATGGTTTAGATTCTCTGCTAAAAATGAAGAGATGCCAAAATATGGTTGTACAAATTACAGTCCCCAGGTTGAATGTTCATAGTCTAGAAAGGCATTTTTTTAGTATATACAAAAATACATGTATATTGTCTGAAAGATGTCAGAAGCCTGAGTTCAGGCCTTTTGTGGGTTGCAGACTGAGGCCAAGCAGCATTCAGGGCCCTCTACCAGTATGACTGGGTGCAAGAGAACAGCCTCCTGACATCCTGGCAGGCAGCAGGAAGAGCGAGGGGAGCCCCGTGGGCACCTACCGGCCCCAGGCTTATTTCTCATTTAGCCAATCCTCTGCAATTACCAGTGATGGAAACGCTGAGAGGAAAGGCCAGAGCAGGTGGCTCATTCATTAAACAAGAGGATCCAACAAATTAGCTCGAGTTGTATGGGACTGATAAAGACAGGCAGGGGAAGAGCACTGCAGAACGCACAGATCGCTGGAGACAGCTTGGCAAAGGCTGAACATCTGTTACAACAAGCGCTGTAGCTCTGCTAGAGATGGGCGCAGGGGAGGGGAGTAGGGAGGCTGGGAGAAGAGGGCTGGGGCTGCGTGGGCTCACTGTGGCCGGGAAGGTGTGTGGCTGCCGCCCGAGCTCACCTGAAAGACTGCACTTCTGGGGGCTCCTTACAGCTCTGTCCGCGAAGCCGGTGCACATCCTTGGCAGCGGCCCTCATCATTTTGTCCGTCTGCAGCACGCTCTTGTGCTCTGCTTGGTCCATCTGTGGGGCAAAGCAAGCAAAGGCTCGGCACAGAGGAGAGACCGCAGGGCCTCCAGACACGAGGCAGCTGGGGGAACTTGTTGCCACAAGTGACAAGTCCAGGGGAATGAAAGGTGCCACCACCACAGGGCCTGGGTCTTTGGGAGGGTGACAGGTGGTGTTCACGTCATCTCAGTGAGGGACTTGACCTTGGCAGCTAAGAGGTGAATGCCTGTGTGAACCTGTTGGAAATGAGCTGAGGACTACCGGGAGCACTCATCTAACCCTCAGGCCCCCTGGGGGTAGATCTGATAATTACGCCTGTTTTACAGAACAGAAAACTGAGGCTCACACATGTTAAGCAGTGTCTTCAACATCCAACAATGAAGTAGGGGTGGAAGCCCAAGCCCCAGTCATGCAGTTGTGCTTTACAGCCTGCGGTATAACTCTGCATCCCGTTTTCCTGACACAAACCTACGCAAGCACTCGTGAGAACCAACCGGGGAGAGCGCAAAATATCTATATAAACACATATAAACACACTGCACTAAGAATTCTGGTCAATGAAGCTATCACTTAGATGGCTGAGAAGCAGATGTTACGGATGGACTATGTTTTGCTGTTTGAAAGTCAAATTTTCCTGACTTGTGCGGTTTTTTTAAAGGTAGGCCACAGAGGGGCTTATTTTCTCATCTTTTGCCTTGATGACCAGGAAACTCAAAGATAAATATAAGATCCGACTATAATTAGGTTACTTTAAGTTTGGGATATATTTATGTTCTTTTTCCTACAAGCCTTTTTTTTTTTTTTTTTTTTCTCCGGTACCGGGAACCGAACTCATGACCTTGCACTTGCCAAGCAGGCGCTTTTGCCGATGAGCTAAATCCCCAGCCCCGCTAAATCCCCAGCCCCAAAAGCCTTCTAATTTTCAATTTTCCTTTAGTGCCGTCATTATAACCCTATTCATAAATACACAAGGTATTAGTAATGAATTAGAAGGAAACATTTTGGACCTTGTAAATGACCAGTTTGGTGCCTTCACACTAGTCCAGGCCTAAGAAGCCCAGCGTCATCTTTTTTTTTTTTTCTGGTACCGGGAATCAAACTCACAACCTTGCGCGTGCCAGGCAGGCGCTGTGCCATTGAGCTAAATCCCCAGCCCACGTCGTCTCGTCCTAAGCTATCACTTTACTGATAGCCAGGACTGCAGGCTCTCACGACAATCTGGGCAGGCACCCCTAGGAGGTGCTCTTTGCACTGAGTACAGGCGACACTAGCACAGGTCTTTCGCCTCATGGGCGGCAATCAGGGAGCGGCAGCTGTTATTCATTATAAAGGAACCAAACACAGCCCTTGTATCCTGGCAGTACATTGTTTATCTCTTCATTGTAGTGCAGGACTTGTTGGCTTAGAAGCTTAGAAGCCAACTGGTGACACATTCAAATTTTTACCCCTATGATCATTTAAAATATAGCTCAAGTAAAAAGATCTTTTAGCTACATAGAACCTGCCTGCTTTACATGCCCTGTGAACTTGCACCCAACATTTCCCACCACAGAAAAGGTAAAGCCTGAAGCTTCAGCCACCTAAGCTGCTATTGCACTTTGTAATTCTTAAACCCACAGACTCCTCATGCCGCTGAGCGACACCATCTAGATGTCAGCCCTCCATCAACTTCCTTCCCTTGTAGTTCCCTCGTGCCTCTGCATTGGGCAGGGCCCCGCACTTCCTGTGGAAGGACTTCCCAGCATGCAACACTGCGGAAGTACAAATAAAACTCACTGAGTCCTACTGCTACTTTGTGGTTCTTTTTTCTATGGTCAACCCAGAAATCCCGCTCATTCCCAACAACACGGCAGAGATGCCAGCAAAAGCACAGCAGTGCCCCAGGGCATCCTCTCAGTGCACAGTCCTGCTGTGACCAGCTCCACTCTCCTCTGGTGAAAGGTTCCTGGGACTGCCTGGGCACCTGTGGGACAGTGCTGTACCTTTACTCTGCTGACGTGCATGCCTTGAAATGCATGTGATGAAGGACTGCATGATGAGTTCAAGAGTGAAACATAAGGGCTTACATGAACATGTCTGTAAAACAAAGGGGCCCTGCAGCCACATAGAGTGGGCAGAGGGATTCCTAGATCTGCCAGCTGATGGCTATGAGGGGCCACTGAATCTCTCTCAGCAGGACCTGTAGTGAGGACCGTCAGAGTGATTCAAAGCTTTGGCTCTCACCAGCTCATGGCACTCACCCTCTTCTCCAGCATCCTCAGCAGCAGGCGGAAGCGTTCGTCCTCACGCAGCCACTGGGGCAGCTCCTTCTCCCCATGGTTCTTGGCTTGTTCCAGCTGCTCCTTGAGCTCCTTCAGCACGGAGATCTCCTGAGTCAGCTGGCTGTGCCAGGTCCTTGTGGCCTGCAGGTCTAGTTCAAGGTCCAGTGAGGTGCGGATCAGGCGCTCATTCCGCAGGGATTTGACTGATGAAGGCTGCAGAGGGGTGGTTTCCAAAGTTACTAGAAGGTTCCACCCAGGGGGCCCATACAACCCTCTCCTCTCAGGCCCAAAGACCCTCTTCCACTTACCTACAAGCACCCAAGTTAAGCGTGAGCCCCCCCGCCAACCCTGTCGCGAATTCTCCTGTCACATGGCTTGTGTTTATTCAGCACTTACCATGTCCCAGGCGCAGTGCAAAGGGCTTTACATCTACTATGGCATTTTGTGTTCACAACACCCCTGTGAGGTCCCCACTGTTATCCTCACTCACAGAGGTGGCTCACAAAAGGTAGGTGAAACGATCAAAGTAAGTTGTAAGGCTGAGTATCCACCCTAGCAGTTGTATCTACTCACCGGGTGCAGTGAATTAGCTTTGCTTCTCTCAGTGCCCTCAGCGTTTACACTCTGAGTTCATGATGCCTGTTCCTACCCTGTCCTGAAGGTGTTTCCTTAACAAGGCCTGTGCCTCCGAGTGGAAGTCGTGTCTTCTCTGTTCCTTCCACTTCCCCAGTGTTCATCTCCCAGAGCCCAATCTTCCTTGAGGATCCACTCCTCCACCATACTCAGTTCCCCTGGTCTGTGTGAGTCATCAGGGGTAGGAACGTGATCTGAATGTGGGCAATCATAATCTCAGTGACTAGATCTAGGGAGGGGCATGTTTTCTAAGTCCAGCTGATACTCAGTTCTGGCACTCTGCTAAACTACTTGGGTAAAAGGCAAATGTCTTTACACAGAGGTTGCCAGGGCAGCAAAAGGTACACTTGGAACTGATATAAATGTAGTCATCTTTTGTTTTTTTGTCTTTTTGAGACAGGGTCTCACTATGCAGTTCAGGCTGGACTTGAGCTCACTTTGTAGCCCAGGCTGGCCTTGAACTTACAACGATCCTTCTGCCTCGACCTCTCAAGTGCTGGGATTACAGGTGTGCACCACCACTCCCAGCTCAATCTTTACTGTCATATGGGGTGTCATGGTTTGTGTCTAGATGTCCCCTCAAAGCCTTATGCAGTCATGGGTGGACTTTTACAGTTTTTTGATTGATTTGTGGTCCAATGCTGGGATAATGGGTGTGAGTGCTACACCTGCCCTGGGGTGGGCAGCCTGTGTATAATATAAGGGAGGTAAAGAGGCTTGCTCTTGTGGCTTTCGCTGTTTTCCACTGCCATGAAATGTTACCCTCTGCCATGTGCCACTCTGCCTTGGAGCCAGCTGAGTATGGACTGAAACTCCACAAACTGTGCGCTAAATAAACCTTTCCTTCCTTAATTTTAGGTGTTGGGTATTTTGTCTCAGCAATGAGAGAAAAGTAAGACAGAATTTGGCACCAGGAGTGGGGTCATTGCTCTGACTGTACCTGACCATGTGGTTCAAGAGCCTTTGGGAATGGTTTGTGGGAAGAGTTTGGAAAGGTTTAGAGATGTTGCCTAAAAGCGTAACACTGGAATACCTTAGGCCATTCTATATGGGAGACTCTGGTCAGAGCTCAGAAGACCAGAAGGCTAATAAAAATCCTGCCAGTAAGGACTAGGAGGTTTCTACTGGGAAGGAGGACTGCATTAATTGTTGGATGCCAAAAAGTGTGTGCTATGGCTTGAGAAAAAGTTTGTCTACATTTTGTTTGTGTCCAGAGACTTTACGTGAGACTGAGATTAAGGGTGGTGGACTAATTAATCTGACTAAAAAAAATTTAAGGTAGTCTAATATTAAGGCAATCACATGGCTATTGTTAAGGGCTTTTAGCCAGATTTATGTCATAAATCAAGAGCAAAGAGTCCAAGAGGATGATTTAAAATGTTATAATTTTGGCCTGAGGGCATCACAAGAAGCAGCAAGTCTCTACCCTTTGCAGCCTCAAATTTGCAAAAGTGAGACTTTGCTTTGAGGAGAAAGATGCAGAACACCATGTTCCAGAATGGCAACAGCCACGTCAATTCCAAAATGGTGGTGGCATAGAAAATTTGTTCCTCAGAATCAGCTTCAGAGTGCTCAGTGATCTAGGCACTTGATCCCTATACCCAAGGGAGAAGAAAGCCTGGCTACTAGTCCAGCTGGCAGCAGACCTTGACATCATCCATATGATGCTGGTTTTGGGTGCATGCAGAATGCAAGAGTTATGGGTTTTTTTTTTTGTTTGTTTTTTGTTTTTTGGTTTTTCTCCGGTACCGGGAACTGAACTCACGACCTTGAGCTTGCCAGGCAGGCGCTTTGCCGCTGAGCTAAATCCCCAGCCCCGAGTTATGGGGTTAAGAAGGCTTCCACCTCAATTTCAAAAGGCCTGGGATGCCAGAGATATAGCTCAGAGGCACAAGCACCTGCCTGGCAAGTGCAAGGTCATGAGTTTGATTCCTAGTACCAAAACAAAACAAAACAAAACAAAAAAAACACCCTCAAAAGGCCTAGGGGGATGCTGGGGATTTAGCTCAGTGGCACAGTGCCTGCCTGGCAAGCCTGAGGTCGTGAGTTCAATTCCCAGTACCGGAAACCCCTTCCCCCCCCAAAAAAGGCCTAGGAGGCCAGGAACTGTGTGCCTGAGAGGGCACTATGTAAAGCTGTGAGGGTGAAACCAAAGGTACAGTGAAGATCCCAGAAGTTTGGAGAAGACAAGAATGTAGATCATTTAAAAAAAGCTGTAAGGGGGGAGCAAAGCAGGCCTAAGAAAAAAGCCACGAGAGCTACAACCATCAAAAGTGCCACACAAAGGCCTTTGGAGCTTTGGGGCAAAACCACACAAGGCCTTTGGAGCTCACCATTTTCCACAGATTGCTTCAGATGTTCCACATGGAACTATAGGACTCAGTGTTTGCCCTGCTGGATTTTGCACTTGCTTTAGTCCCATTCCTTTGTATCTCTCTGTTTATACCTTTTGAAATGGTAATGTTTATCTTGTGCCATTAAATGTTGAAAGTGTTTAACTTTTCATTTGTACAGGGGCTCATAGCTAAGAGTTTGCCTTACATCTTGAAAGAGACTTAGGACTTGGACTTTTTAGCAATGCTAAAGCTGTTAGGACTTTGAGAACTCTTAGAGATGGAAATGCCTTTTACACAAAGGGATGTACACGAGTCTTTGGGGGCCAGTGGTGTTTATGTTATGATTTTTCTCTAGATATCCCCCCCCTCCTCAAGCCTCATGCAGTCATGGGGCAGGCTTCTAGAGTTTTTTGATTGATTCATGGTCCAATGCTGGAATTATGGGTGTGAGTGCTATACCCACCCTAGGGTAGGCAGCCTGCATACAATACAAGGGAGGGAAAGAGGCTTGTTCTTGCTGTTCCTCTCCTTTTTGCTCTTGTTGCTTTTGCTGTCTTCTGCTGCCATGAAATGTTGCCCTCTGCCATGTGCCACTCTGCCTTGGAGCCAGCTGAGTATGGACTGAAACCTCCACAAACTATGAGCTAAATAAACCTTTCCTTCCTTCATTTTGGGTGTTGGGTATTTTGTCTCAGCAATGAGAAAAACGTAACCAAGACACGGGGTGACCCTGGAGGCAGTAGTGCCATGATGGGGAAGGAAATCTAGCAACTTTTCAACTCCTGGTTCAATCCATACCTGAAGCTAGATCATATCCTGGTCCTATCTTCCTTCCCTTCCTCCCTTTCTCTCTCTCTCTGTCTCTGTCTCTGCCTCTCTCTCTCCCTCCTTCCTTCCTTGTCATCTTCTCTGCCTTGCTGCCATTCTCTTTCTTTGGGTAGTGCTGGGGACTGCATGAAGGGACTTGTGCCTGCTAGGCAAGTTCTCCACCACTGAGCTGCATCCTTCATGTTATGGTCTGGACCTTAAGTGTCTCCCAAAGGCCCATAGGCTAACGGTTTAGTCATGGCCCTGTGGCATACTGGCAGATGGTGGACCATTTAGGAAGTGGGGGGCTGAGTGAAAGGAAGTGAGGTCACTGAGGGCGTGTCCCTGAAGGGGTTATTGAGACCCAGGTCCTTTGTAGTCTCTCTTACATCCTAGCCTCCATGAAGCGAGCAGCCTCCCCTGCTGTGTGCTGCTGTCCTGATGAGCTGTGCTGCCACAGGCCCGAGGCAGTAGGGCCAACTGACATGAACTGCAATCTCTGAAACCGTGAGCCAAGATGCAACCTTCCTCTTTCAAAGTTATCCAGGTATTTTGTCCCAGTGACGGAAATCTAATATATTTAATCTTCACTTTTCCATTAAATGAGATAATAAATTCCCTCTTTCATTTTTAAACTGTGCTATTGTTTGGGTTCTTTCGTTATTTGTATGTAAAAGGTCCAAGTGAATACAAGCATTAGCTGTTCTTCCATCAAAATCTATTATTGATTAAGAAGAACAACTAAAAGGCTGTGAAAAGCAGAATTCTAGGGTGACTCCCCAAATTTTTCCCCCTAACACAGATGCCCTGTGTAATCTGCTACCCTTCAGTATGGGTATGACATCACTATTATGATGAGATTGCCAGTCAAGTGACTGTGAGTTAACCAAAAGGAAGATTATCCTTGGTGGGCCTGATCTGATCAGGTAAGCTCTTAAACAATGGACTGGGCTTTTCCCTACTTGGTTACTCTGCTGGCTATGAGGAAGCAATGCATGTCATAGAGAGTGTCACCTGGCAAAGACCTGAAGTGACCTCTAGGAGATGAGAGCGGCCTGTGGTCTGAAACCAGCAGGAAACACAAGGAGCGAATTCTACCAGCAACTTGAGGGAACCTGAAAGTAGATCCTCTCCTAGTCAACCTTCCAGAGGAAGATGCGGTCAGTTCACACAGTCTTCTGAGACCCTGGGCACAGGACTCAGCTCACTTGTGCCCCAGTTCCTAACCTGTAGAAACGGAGAACAGGAACCTGTTTTATTTTAAACTGCTCAGTTTATGGCAATTTGTTTATGTAGCCATGAAAAAAAGACCCCACAACAACCAAAAAGGGATTTAACACATGGTACAAGAAATACTACTGTCATGTCTATCCTCACTTTGTAAGGTTGGCAGCACTTGGGAGGATGAAGCAGGAAGATCATGAGTTCAAGGCTATCCTGGGCAACATAATGAGACACTGGTCTTAAAAAACACAAAACAAAAAGCTCAAAGCAGAAGTTCTAGAATGTTCTTCTTGAGTGAACATTGTTTGGTCTGTGCCTATAAATGAGCACGGTTGAGGAAATCCAGCTGTGATCTATGTAGTCCAAGTGCTCATAGCAACCACGGAAAATGATTGTGCCCTGCTTGAGCCCATGTCCAGGCTTAGAACCCTTCCTAGGCAAGGTTGCAGCAGGGTGAGGTGCAGCTCACGCTGCAAACAGAAGCAAGGACTGGAGCACCCACGAACCCTGGCCCAGCTGTCCTCTCAGTAAGTCAACCCAGTGGCTAAGCAGGAGGGGCCAGGAAGAAGGGGGCTGTAGGAAATGCAGGGGAGCGAGGAAGAGTCCTGCAGTGATGTTTCTACAGAAGCAGATCATAGACCACCTGCTTTAGAAGCCCTGCAGAGCTTATAATGCAGTCCCCAGGGCTCCGCCCCTGCTGCAGGATGGAGGCTGTGGAAAGTACCCTTGGAATCAGCATTGTCACTAGGCTCCCCAGGTGACTCTCAGGGTTCCAGAGAGCACCACGCATTACCGGTCAGTTACAGCAGATGGAGCACGGGACCCAGAGCGGACACTTGGCTCCCCAGGGACCCGAGGCCACACCCACATTCTTCCCTACCGTGTTCTTCCCTGGTGCCCTCTCCAGAACTGCTGGGGGAAGGGCAAGAAGTAGGCAAAACACCACTCATTTTTTTAGTTTATTTTTGTGGTGCTGGGGATAAAACCCAGGGTCTCACACATGTGAGACAAGTGTTTTATCAGTGAGCTACATCTGCAGCCCAAGTGTATTTTTATCTATCCAGCCAGCCAGCCAGCCAGCCAGCCACCCACTTACCTACCCACCCATTCATTTGCAGTGCTGGGGATGGAAACCAGGGCCTCACACACACTAGACAAGTGCTTTACCAGTGAGCTACACCTGCAGCCCAAATGTGTTACTTTCTTTCTCTCTTTCCTTCTTGCCTTCCTTCTTCCCTCCCTCCCACCCATCACCCGTCCGTCTGTCCGTCCATCCGTCTGTCTGTCCGACCATCCATCCGTCACCTGCAGTGCCAGGGACTGAACTTAGAGTCTGGCACATGCTAGATAAGCCCTCTACCTCTGAGCCACACCCTAGACCTGGGCCAAGACCTAATCTTGGCTGTCAGCACGCGGGTCTGCAGGAGGGGTAGAAGGTCCTCCCCATTTCTGGGCTGTCAGCACCCTCTTCTCTTCATGTCCCCTTTCCCTTTGCCATTGTCTCCTGCTCATTTTCATTTCCTCCTTCTGACAGTCTGGCTTCTAGGTCTCTTCTCATTCTGTAAAAGCACCAGAGTGAAAAAGGACGCCTTCCTTCATCTCCTATAGCCTTGTCAGAGTCCTAAAAAGGGGTCACTCCTTTGTTTAATGCCATCCTCCAGCCAAGGTCCAGTAGGAAAGGCCGCTTTTGGGGGACAGCCTGTGACCTTTCCCTGTGTGTTTCTAGACAGTCTGAAGCCCACTTGCTTCCAGTAAATGCCACATGGGCACCCATAGGGTCATGATTTCTGGTTGGTGACCGTGACATCTTGGCCTGGTTAATTATCTTATGGTTTAGATCGAGAGTGTCCCCCCCTACAAGTATCATGTATTTTTGTTTTGTTTTGTTTTTCTTCTGGTACCAGGAATCGAACTCACTTGCTTGTGAGGCAGGCATTGTGCCACTGAGCTAAATCCCCAGCCCCAGAGCTAAGGTTTTTGAAGGTGATTTGGTCTCAGGGGTGCTACACTCATCAGTAATAATCTTTTTTTTTTTTTTTTTTTGGTTTTTCTCCGGTACCGGGAACCGAACTCACGACCTTGCGCTTGCCAGGCAGGCGCTTTTGCCGCTGAGCTAAATCCCCAGCCCCTCATCAGTAATAATCTTTTCATGAGCTCATGCGCTATTCAGAGGTGGAATAGCGCCTGTCAGAGGGGGCTGGTCACAGAGGAGTGACCTGCTGGGGTGCATTCTTATCCCCAGCTCCTCCCTTCTCTCTCTGCTTCATGGATGCCACGGGACAAGGACCTTCCCTCCACCATGCCCTTCTGCAGCGCTGTTTCTGCTTTGGAGCCAACCATGGGCTGAATCCTCTAACAATTGTGAGCCAAGATTAACCTCTCCTCTGTTGAACTGTGGGTGTCAAGTACTTTGTCCCAGTGACACGTGCGTGACTAATGCAGTTCTTCCTGACTGACTTTAATTTCTGCCCTGGAAGCCATGCTCTGTGTGCATATTCCTGACCTCACTGTCTGTCAGAATTCTAAGCTGACATTTGTCCTTTGGCCCATGCCCCAGTGCCTACACAGGGCCAAGCTTCCTCTCGTAAATCCCATCACCCTTGCGAGAGCACTCTTCACCCCAGCGGCTCAGGGGAACACCAGGCACCTGGCCACGTGTGTGCTGCACATGGAAAGGTAGGGGGTGCAGGCACACAAACAGCTTTGAGGTGACTCTTACCCGTTTCATCCGGACGCTGCGGCGCTCCAGAGAGTTTCGAACAAAAGGTGGCTTTTTAGACAGGGTGGAGCTATCACTATCACTCCGATTCAGCTACAAGAGAAAAGTCAAGAGAAGTTCAAGATGGTAAAAATGCATTCTGGAAAGTGCTCTGAGACAGGGAAGAGGCTGGGTTCCCCTACTCAGCCAGTCCTTCTTCTCCTTGTGTAGTTTCCTATCTCGGGTTCCATTCTGACGTTTCTTTACATGTGAACACTCATTGGGTACATACTATGTATGACGCATGCCGCCATTTGTATATGTCAGTGCTAATTGAAACGAATTGTCTTATTGAATTTGCCCAAGAACCCCATGGGATAGGAGTGTTGCCATTTTATGTTGAGGACACAAAGGCTTAGGGGTCACAGCACTTGCTCAAGGCTAGTGAGCCCATGAACTTCCCAGCAGGTGTGACAGCAACATCAACCTGACCTGTCACTCACAGAGCCTATCTTTATTGGGTTAAATAGGGTCTTTGTCACAACGAACATTTGCAGCTAGCAACATCGCTCTGTGGTAGAGTGCTTGCCTAACATGTGCCAGGCTCGGGGTTCCATCTCCAGCACTGAAAAGAGGGTTTGAGAGGAGAAATAAAGAAAGAAAGAAAGAAAGAAAGAAAGAAAAACAAGAGAAGAAAAGAGAAGGGAAGAGAACAGATGAGAAAAGAAAAGAAGGAAAGAAGGCAGGCAGGCAAGTAGGTCAAGACACATCCCTCAGGGACAATGTACTCAGAGGGGATGGGGCAGACAGGTGCTGTAAGTATTAAACTCATCACCCCTATGCTGGGTCAGTTAACAAGCAGGACAGCAGTCTTATAATACTCAAGTGTGGGAAGCAGCAGGAAGTGAAACTCACTGTCTCTACCTGCACTCACTTAATGTCATCAAGGACCCCAAATCAGAGAAATGAACCACGTGACCCGGGTCACGCTGAGGAACACAGGATGGAGCCTCCCAGCAGAGACTCTTTCTGTGGCTGACACTGGGCCAGCAAGAGGGGCGGCTGACAGCTGCAGTCTAGGAGGCCCCAGGAAGCCATTCAGGAGGTGGCTCTGAGCGACGCAAGGCTACAGGCTGTGGAGTCGGACTCCGACTTCACAATGGTCACCGTGTGCCCAGGAGCAAAGTGCTCTGACTCTGGATCGCCGCTCTGCATCTGTGCAAAGGGATGCACAACTGGCCTGCGGGGTCGCCTATAAGACCAGACGACACAGAAATGCTTTCTTGTCCCACAGAGGAGGGGAAGGTGTTGCTGATTAGTATCTGAAATCTCATCCTATGCACAGAAACCCCCACCTCATGTTCTTGTTGGGAAACAAAGTCCATCTCCCGTTAGGGAAGCGGAAAGGACCCACATCTTGTTTTCTTGGCCTTTCTTGCCGCTGGAGGCAGCCCCTGGACTGGGCTGTAGCTGTCTATCAGGGGCACCTGCCCTAGGCTCTGAATCACAGCGTGGGTTACTGGACCCAACTCTGTCACTGTGTCTTCTGCATTTAAAATAAGCTGCTGTTGTGTTCCACGTTAGTATCTTGGGGGAGAAGAAGCCATAGGTGGTGAGCAGGAGAGGCAGCACCCAGAGCTTCTGTGGCTAGAAGGGCAGGAACCTGGTGGAGTAATCGGTATCTACGACACACACGCACTTAAAACAAAGGAGCTGGGCTATGTCCTGCGGCAGCACCAGGGATGAACCTGCCTGACTGGCTGTGCCATGCTTTTGGCTATGTCTCGGCCTGCCTCGGTCCTGCCTGATTTCTTAGGTTAGTTCTACAACCTCACAATCATGAGATGAGCTACTTGCTTTCCTTTCTAAAAACTCCTTTCCTGAATAGACAGCTCACAGGCTATTTCTGTGGTTTACAGTTCGGGATGCGGAGGGGTACGGGATTTGGTAGGAGGAAGTAAAGTGCCAGCACGCACAGACCGGAAAACAAGGAGCTGGCTGAGCAGTGGCAGTAGGGTTTATGTATGTGTGGGGGGCACAGGGCAGCCCTGACATTGCCTGCTGGGATTTGGTAGTGCTCATTTGGTGGGTGCGGGACAGCATTTATAAGCAGGTGCTATCACGCCTGGCTTCACTCATCTCACAACTGGAAGCTTTGTACACGGAGTACTCAGACATTGAGAACTCCGGTCACTGTTGTTCTCCTCCCACGATAACCAGGTAAAGGGCAGGTTGGCATTCAGAACAGGACCTAAGGCTCACCCTTCTGTGACGAACTACTGGAACATTATGAAGGAAGGTTCTGTTCACGTTTCTACTTATTACTCAATGGTTCCAGAAGGAGGAGAGGAAGGAAGGGCATTGACATGTCATCTGAGCCCAGTTCCCAGATAAGGTATGCACACATCCTATGTGTGCCATCCCCATGGAAGGTTGGGAGCAATGGCTGGATCCATAGCCCTCAGCATCCAGCATGACCCTCCTACTTGGTTCGGTGCTTAGATGTCGCATGCACTGCATAATGAAGGAAAGTGGGCTGGCCCGGGAGGGTTGTACAGCAAGGAAAGGATGTGAAGAACAAAGCACACTGCAGGGCCTCAGGAGCAGGTGGGCCACACAGCAGGTGAAGGGAGGGGCCTGGTGGAGTGAGTGTGAAAGCGCCCCAATCTCACCATCCAAGGGCAGGATGCTCTCAGGGCCACCCACGCACTGCCCTGAGAACGTGAGGCCTGTGGCCCCAGAAAGCCCTTCTATTTTCAAAAGGGAGGGGACGAAATGCCCACAGGCTGTGGAACACGAGGAAAGGCAGGGTGGGGTTGCATGAGGAAGAAATAAGCGGGTGGAATTATACTAACAACATAAAGTACTGGTTACTGAGCCTTTCCCCTGCTTTATCTAAAACAATCCTGCAGGCTGGAGATGTAGCTCAGTGGTAGAGTTCTTGCCTGGCATGCACAAGGCCATGGGTTCAATCCTCAGCATCACACACACACATACACATACACACGCATGCATGTGTGTGCAAGAAAACCCAACCAATCCTGCAAGAAAACAACAACAAACCCTGTCTAATGCACTGAGAGCAAGTCATGGGCTTTCTGTTGCAGAAGCACTTATTTTCTAGTGTGTTTCCTGCACTGTGGGCCTGCAAAATAGTTAATTTTGTAGCAATTCAAAAGCAAAGGGCTACCAGCCTCATGTTGCTATTGTCCAGTTAATCTTCGCCTAGAGTCCCTTTAAAGGCAATTACATAGAGAATAGCAAATGTAGAGGGAACTGCGGGATAAAGAGCATTCCAGTAAACCAGGCTTCTACTTCTAGGCTGTCACTCTGGCTGGACTTTTTCAGGTTTCAGGCCTTGGTTGCTGGGTGTCCTGCTTGGCTTTTTGGATCCCTAACTCCAGGCACTTCACAACTATTTCTTTAGCTAGTACTGTTTTTTTTATTGTTGCTGTTTTAAAAATAATCAGTTTTCCAAATGTACACAAAAGAAGCTGGGCGTGGTGGGGCACACCTGTAATCCCAGCAGTCGCGAGGCTGAGGCAGGAGGATCGCTGCGAGTTGAGATCAGCCTGGGCTACAATGTGAGCTCAAGGCCAGCCTGAACTGCATAGGGAGACCCTGCCTCAAAAAGACAAAAAAAAAAAAAAAGTACACAAAAGCTAAGACAGGAATGGGGTGAGGAAGCACATACCTATAATCCCAGCATTCTGGGAGGCTGAGATAAGAAGATCCTAAGTTTAAGGCCAACCTGGGCAATTTAGCAAAAAAGTCTCAAAATAAATAAAACTTTATTTTTTTTATTTTTTATTTTTATTTTTATTTTTTGGTACTCGGAATTGAACTCAGGACCTCACACTTGCCAGATAGGCATGATGCCACTGAGCTATATTCTCAGCTCAAAATAAATAAAACTTTGCCAGGTGTGGTGGCACATGCCTGTAATCTGAGCACTCGGGAGGCTGAGCCAGGAGGATCCTTGCGAGTTTGAGACCAGCCTGGGCTACAAAGTGAGCTCAAGGCCAGCCTGAACTGCATAGCGAGATCCTGTCTCAAAAACAAAACAAAGGGGCTGGGGATTTAGCTCAGCGGCAAAGCGCCTGCCTGGCAAGCGCAAGGTCGTGAGTTCGGTTCCCGGTACCGGAGAAAAACCAAAAAAAAAAACCAAACAAACAAACAAAACAAAAAAACTTTAAAAGGTCTGGAGATGTAGCCCAGGGTTCAATCCCTGGTACTAAAGAGGAAAAAAAAAAAGTGAGAAAACACGTATTTAATCACTAAACAGAAGTAAATACAACCGCTATTTTGGTCCGTAACCTTTCAGCTTTTGGTATGCATGTTGGTATTATGTATTTATTCCTTATTGTGTGCATAAATTTTATAGCGCTGGGGATTTAACCCAGGGCCTCATGCATGCTAGCAAGCACTCTGCTGCTGAGTGACATCCCTAGCCCCATACTTTAAAATTTTTTAATCGTAAGAGAAGTCTTCTTCTACCTACTGCTTGTGAAATGCTTGTTTCATGATACGTTATTTTCCTATGGTCAGTAAATAATTACAATGATCAATCAATCAATCAATCAATTAAAAAACTCAGTCCTAGGAAATGGATCTGTGAATCTCCCATGGGGAAACTGAGGCTTGGTTAACCTACAGGGGGAAAGCCAAGCACATGAGCGTCATCAGACGTGCACCTCGAGCCAGTGGGGCTCTGGGCTACCCAAGGGGAGGACAAAGGCACCACACACTTGCTTACCCGGCACACGTACTGGCTCTGGGGTCCAGGGGAGAAGGTCTTTGAGCGGATGATGGTGCTCCCCCGAAGGAATGGCCCTGACGAAGGGGCACCTACCCGCCGGTCCTTGGGCCGCACCACTGTGGGGGATGGGGCCACAGCATCTGTGTTGGTCTCCTTGTCCATCTGAGGAAAAAGCCAGAGTCTTGAGGCCCCCAGTGTCCATGGAGTCTCGGCCCCTCACCGGAAGTCTACTTAGTGACCTGCCACTCTTGTCATTTTGCCTTTGGCTCACTGGGCTTCCTCACTTGAGGAATGGCCCAAAATTCTGCTGCGGCACCCCATGGCCACACACTTTTGGGGCACAACATGCAGCTCTAGCCCAGGGGCCCTGGCTCAAATATGTAGGGTGTTCAAGCACAATCTTCCTGCAGGCGGAAAGACCGCAGAGCTCTCGCCGTTACTGCGCTCAAGAGCAGTAGGGAAATGGGGCAAAGGGACCTGACTGGACTCCTTTTTCCCATTGCACTTTCCACACACTCAAATGAAGAAATACACTCCTGCCAAGCCTCTGAGCCTATCTGCAGGTCTACGGGTCCATTTCAGACAGAAGGAAATGGAGGCCGGACAGGGCCGAGTCATCTGCCTAAGACCACACAGCCGAGAAGCAGTGGTGCAGGATCGGAGGTGAGATTTGTGTGACTCCAAAGTGTAGCACTGAGCATCCAGAGAAATGGGGAACATGCAGGAGGCAGAAGAGAGGTCAAATCAGCCCCTCCTGCTTACCGTCACCAAAGTGACCTGAAGCCCAGAGGGTCACTCCTAAACAAGCTACTGCAGGCCATTCAGAGACGGGCGTGACTCAGCTCCAAACCTCTCTGGCCGCTTACGGGTGAGGTCTAATGGTAATGTTCCCATCGCCACACGGAAGGACAGCGCCTCTTACCTTCACGGCTGGGTACCCGTCCGTGTCTGGTGAGGGCTTCTCAGTGAAAACATCCTCTTCCCCCTCTTCCTCCTCCTCAGCCACTGCCTCGTTCTCGCTGGTGTCTTCCTCGTACCTCCTGTGGGGACAGAACACTGTGGCCGCCCACCCACAGCTCATCCATCCTGAACTGCATGTGGGGCAGGGCTTCCAAGCCTCTTCGTGATCGAGGACATTTTTATTTTCAAAATTCCTAATTTCAGGCTGAGGATGTAGCTTAGTGGCAGAGCTTTACCTTAGCACGTGCAACACCATGAGTTTGATCCCCAGCACCACAATAACACTGATTGTATTGAGGTGTAATTTAAACACAAGAAAATACATTTTCAATGCATAGTCTGCTGAGTTTTGACCACTGTACACACTTGTATAGGCACAACCACATTCAAAATATAGAATATTCCATTACCCTAAAACGGTCCCTTATAGTCTTTCCCACCTAATTTCCCCTACTACTCCCAGGCAACCACGGACGAACTCTCTGTTGTAATAGATTACATTTTTCTAGACTTTGATATAAGTGGAACCAGACAGTATATACTCTTGTCTGTGGTTTCTTTGACTTTGAAGTTCACCAAGTTCTGACAGGTATCAGTAGTTGTTATTTTTAATACCTGAGTAATATTCCATTGGATGGATATATTGTGGCTTCTTTAGCTACTCATCAGTTGAAGAACACGTGGACTGCTTCCACTTGTTAGCCTTTACAAATAAAGCGTCTAAGAATATCCATGTGCAAATCTTTCTATTAGATACAGGTTTTTATTTTTCTTGGATATTATATTAGTTGGCCAGGCTGCTGAAATGAAACACCAGATTGGATAGCTTCAACAACAGAACTTTATTTCTCATACTTTTGTGTGTGTGTATGTGTCTTTTTTGAGACAGGGTCTCGCTATGCAGTTCAGGCTGTTCTTGAGTTCACTTTGTAGCTCAAGCTGGTCTCATACTTGCCGTGATCCTCCTGCCTCAGCCTCCCAAGTGCTGGGATTACATGTGTGTGCCACCATACTGAGCTATTTCTCATAGTTCTGAAGGCTAAAAATCCGAGATCAAGGTATCAGCAGGTTTTGTTTCTCCTGAAGCTGCTATCCTTGGCTTGCAGATGGTCATCTTCTCCCTGTGTCCTCAACAAGATGCTTCTTTTGTTCTTGTACATCCTGGTGTCCCTCTTGTTCAAATCTCCTCCTCCTCCTCTCTCTTTTGGTTCTTCTTCATGGTACTGGGAATTGAATCCATGGGTCTTTGTGCTGGGCTATATCTCTAGACCTTTTCATTTTTAATTATGAGACAGGGTCTCCCTAAATTTCCCAGACTACCTTACCTCGAACTCAAGCTGGTCTCATACTTGCAGTGATCCTCCTGCCTCAGCCTCCCAAGTGCTGGGATTACATGTGTGTGCCACCACGCCCAGCGATTTCTGGCCCTTCTCTCTCAGCCTCGTAGAGTGCTAGAATTATGAGAGTGCACCACCATGCCTGCCTTTTTTTTTTTTTTTTTTTTGAGAAGCAAGAGTCTTGCTGCTTTGCCCAGGCTAGTCCTACACTCATTGTTTTTCTGCCCCAGCTTCCCAAGCAGCTGGGATTACAGGCTTGTGCCACCAGGCCTAGCTCCAAAGTTTCTCTTCTTTTTTTTTGGTCTTTTTGAGACAGGGTCTCGCTATGCAGTTCAGGCTGGTCTTGAGCTCACTTTGTAGCCCAGGCTGGTCTCAAACTCACAATGATCCTCCTGCCTCAGTCTCCCAAGTGCTGGGATTATAGATGTGCAACACCACGCCTGGCATTCCAAAGTTTCTGTTCTTATAAAGATACTAGGCACGCTAGATTAGTTCTCCTCTAAGTTTAATGGATTTATGTTGCCTTAATTACCTCTTTAAAAACTGTGTCTCCAAATACAGTCACATTTTGAGGTACTGGAGATTAGGAGTTCAATGCAGGAATTTGGGGGATACAGTTAAGTTCATAACAGATACACAGTTTTTTTTTTTTCCTCCGGTACCGGGAACCGAACTCACGACCTTGCGCTTGCCAGGCAGGCACTTTGCCGCTGAGCTAAATCCCCAGCCCCCCAGACACACAGTTAAGAGCAGGTTTGCAGGACTGAGGATATAGCTCTGCGGCAGAGGGCCTGCCACTCTTAAAATGCCAAGTTCACGCACTAGTGCTGGGTTCCAAAAACAGAAAAAGAAAGAATAGTATTGCTGGGCCATCAGCAAACGTGAGTATATCCTTTTATGAAACCCACAGATTACAAAATTTCTCCAATGGAATGTTTTTCATTTTATATTCCCACCAGTAATTTAAGGACAGTTCCAGTTCTTCATCAACACTTGGTATTAGTTTTTAACTAATTTACTTTTTGAGATGCTCATGATTGAACATAGAGTTAGCTCTAGCAGAGAGCTACACACACCACAGTACTTTTTTTAACTTTAACTTTAGGCATCATACTAGGTGTATATTTGCATCTTATTATGGCTTTAATGTACATTTTCTTGCTAAGAAATTTTTTCTGCATTTATTAGCCACTCACATATTTTCTTTTGCAAAGCATCTATCAGAATTTTTAGACCCTTTAAAAGCTGTGATGTCTTTCTATTACTGAGTTATAAGAAATCACCACATATTCAAGACAGAGACCCTTTGTCAGATCCAAGTAGAACAAGTATTTTCTAAGTGGTATCTTCCAAAGAGCAGAAGTTTTAAACTGTGATGAAGTCCTATTTATCTATTGTACATTTTATAGTTTGTGATTTTTACGTCCTAAGGAGTCTTTACCTTCCTCAAAGTTGCAAAGAATTTCCAACACTTTCTTCTAGAAGTTTTACAGTTTCTGTTTTCTTCTATGCCCCCTTTCAGACTGTTAAACATGAAGTGAAACAGGTATCAGAGTCAATTTTTCCCCATTATGAATATCCAACTGTGCCAGGATCATTTGCTGAAGAGCATGTACTCTTGGTGATACCCTTCATAACATCCTGCTCTCTTAGGCTCCAGGGCTGGAACGATCTGGTGTGACAAATGGACTGCATGTGTTCCGCAGTCATTTATCTCTATTCCCATCTTGACTGCTCAAAGACGTACATAACTGCCAGGCTTCTAACCAGCACGAGCCAGTGTTACCACGCTGAGCTGGAAGAATTCCAGTCAAAAGCAAAGAACTTGACATCCAGTTAGCTGGCTTAGTGAGGCTTTGGTAAACACAAAATTTCCCTGAGGATTTTCTCAAGCAGGAGAATAAAACTTGGATCTCCACTACCAAGCCTGTGATTAAAACTCCCCAGTACTTAGATGAGGTCCTGCTAGAGAGGGGACTTTGCTCTCCCACCTCAACTGGCCCCAGCAGCCTCTTGTCTTCTAATAGAGGGGTCCCCCAACAAGTGAATGAACAGAAACATCTCCACAAAGAATTCTGCAGGAGCCACACCTGCCAGTACTTAATGAGGGCTTTATATTCCCTCTGTGCAATGCTATGACCTAATAGTGCTCAAGGAGATCACTGCCATTTCATAAATTCAAAAAGTTAAGAAGGAGCAGAGGGCTGGTAGACCTTGTCCAATACCACAGGCTGCTAAGTAGTGGAGGCAGGTTTCCTGTCTGGGATTATCCAACTCCACCAAGCACCAGATCAGTATAGGAATCTCTACACCCTGGGTCTCGTACATACTAGGCAGGCCTTCTAACACTGAGCTGCATCCCTGGTCCTTCAGATTTTTTTCATTTTGGGACAGGGTCTCACTAAAATGCCCAGGGTGGCTGTCACGGTTTGGGGTTTATTTGCAAGGGGAATAATATAATACAGGACACATATTTTATATGATTATTTATAATAGTCACCCAAAGAATGATATATAAAAGAGTGCAAGAAATCTGTCCACATACTAAGACCAAGGAGTCTAGCCGAGGGCCTGGATCCCATGGAAATGTCCTACGTGAGTCCAGCTGAAGACCTAGAGCCCATAACAATGTCTCCCACAAGTCCAATTGGAGCACCAGAGTCCATAACAATATCTCATGCAGGCCTGTTTCACGGATCTGCGCTGAGGAGCCCAAAGATCAGTGGTGGAATCTAGGAAGTCTGTGCCAGTGGGATGAAGGATCTGTGCTAGCAGGCCGAGGGATCTGCACCTGGAGCCAGGAAGCGATGTGCAAAGTAAGAACCAGAGCTCCCCTGAAAAGTATCACAGCCATCCTCAGCAACATTGAGGCCCTGAGCTCCTCCGATGATAAAGACGGCTGAGTTCCCATCAGGGAAGCCAATGCAGCAAGCTTCTCCAGGAGGCCGCAGTGCATCATCTTCCCCTCCAGTGCCAGGAAGCGATGCTCAAAGTGAGGACCAGAGCCCCCTGCAAAGTGAACCGAAGCCATTCTCAGTGCCAACGAGGTCCCAAGCTCCTCGAAGGATGAAAATAGCCAGGTTCATCAGGAAAGCCAGCATGACGAGCTCCTCCAACAGAATCAACAGCTCCTTACAGCTTCTAGCAGCTCCCAACAACCTTTCAGTTCCCAACAGCCTAGCCTTTTCTCCTCCAGTTCTGCCTCTTATGCTGTTGGCAACAGTCCCCAGGTGGGCCTCCCACACCCAGCACCATGCTTACTCAGTTTAGCTGGGGGTTCTAACTGGACCACCAGTTGTCAGTCCACTACAGTGGACTTGAACTTGTGATCTATCTACTTCAGCCTCCTGAGTACTGAGATTACAGCATGTGCCACCATCTCCTGCTTTTTTCATTTTTTTAAGACAGAGGCTCTGTTTCAGTTGCCCAGGTTGGCCTCAAACTTGTGGTCCTCCATCCTCACTCTCCCGAGTAGTTGAGATTACAGGCATACACCTCTGCACTCTTTCGTTTCTTCAATTTGACTGTGAATTCGTATTCTTTCCTTATGCTGTGTGGTGCTGAGGATCAAACAAGGGGACTTGAGCATGCCGGGCATGGGCTCTACCACTGAACTACCTCCTTAGACCTTTGACTGTGACTCTGGAAGTATTCCAGGACAGAGGAAAAGAAATCACTCAGTATTAGTTATCAACAGCCAAATAATTAAAAGAGAGAATATCTTTTTGCCTATTGCAGTGGTGGAAAAAAAAATCTGATAAAATCAAGTGTAGGTGAAGGTACAGTATAGGAAACAGTAGGAATTACCTGGAGGGAGTATAAGTGAGAGCACACAATTTACACTATGGAGGCAGGTTAGCAACATCAGCTAAAACATTTTAAAAGTCTACATTCTTCATTAAGTATTTTGATTAAATTGAGTGTCCCACAGGGTGTAGGTTAGGGATACTATCAGGTGTTGCTGGAGGGAGGATTTACTATGCTGATACAATCTTATTTCAAAACTCTTCCACTCTGTCTGTTAAAACGTAAAGCACACATGTCCTGGGACCCAGCAATGCCACTTGCTGGTATCTGCCAGACACCCACATGTTCCCCACAAATATGAAGATTTTCTCCTCTTGCATGGTTTAGGAACAGATTCTTCTGTGTTTTCTAATACTCTTCTGTTTTGCTTGTGAATCTTTAAAAAAATGTTTTCTGATTATATGAGCTAAAGAAACTCAAATACTGTAAATAGAGTGAGTAACAATGACATTGTGGGCCTCTACCCATGAGTCCACAGCTACGGAGGCCCAGAAGGCTAGTTAACGCTCCAGAACCAAAAGCAGCCTTCAGCCTGGGGGAAGGGGCCACAGATGGACTGACCCCAGGACAGCAGCTCAGGGATCTCCAGCCTTCTTTGTGAGGCAGCGGCTGGGAAGTTTGAATGGCAGGGGGTGGGGAGACTGGGCCACAAAGGGAGAAAGAACAGAAGCGGTTGCTAGGAGATGGCTTGAAAAGTCTCAGCACAAGCTTGGAATCTGGTAGGAGCCACTGATCTTGTGCCAGGGTTTTGGGAGACAGGTCCTGGGCCTATTTCTGGCACCAGACCTTCGCCTGTGTGAACTATCGTATGGTGCAACGCAGCAATGCCAGAGAGGGAAAGCAAGGGACGGGAGAGAGAAAGAGATTAAGACAATGTGGAGAACGCTAAAACAAACAAAGGGACATACAAAAATTCCAGGAACCTCACTAGACTCTTTTATCACATGAAATAGTAAAAGAATAAAACAGGACTCAGCAAACCACAGCCTGTGAACCAAATCTGGCCCGTTGCTTTTTTCTGTTTGTTTCTCAACAGTTCAAGCTATGAACGGGTTTTGCATTTTTAAATCACTGAAAATAATCAAAAGGAGAATAATTCATGACAGGTGCAAGTGATACGAAATGCAAATTTCAGTCTCCGTAGAGGAAGCGTCAGTGGAACGCAGACAGGGCCACTCATTTACCTAATGTTCATGGCTACTTCCACACCACAGAGGCAGGCTCAAGGAAACACGCCAGACGCAGCCCACAAAGTAGACAATATTTACTATCAGCTCTTTCCACAAAACATTTGGCGACCTCTGGAGTCAAAGACATTAAGGGAAGGCTCCATTTGAGACTAAATATATAATTGGAGGATGTAACAATAATAATATGAAAGAGTTACTGACCCTTCCTCTGGGTCAGGGTCTGTGTTAAGCACTTATCATGCATAATTGTATCGAATCTGCAAGATACTGCAAGACACAGTGGCTATTTTTTATATCTATTTCACTGATGAGGAAACAGAGTGTTAGAGTGCTGGCTCTCAGCCCAGGCTGCATAAGAGAATCACCCCACAGATCAATTAAAACTTCTAATGCTCAGATCACTCTAGATCCTGCAGGAAGTTGGGTGAGTGAACCTCCAAATCCATACCTGTGTGAACTCAGAGCCCGGGCACTTCAGACTGACGTACATACTTTCTCTAAATAGCAAGATTCACCTGATGTGCTCATTCCTAGGTGGGAATTACCGTTTATTTCTGGAGGGTAGTTAGCAGTTCTACTTCTCTTCTTCCTAACACTACTTTTATCATGTGTTGCATATCTGCTGTCTGCACTGCGTTTACTGTTTGCCAGTGGCTTCCCCTAGTCACCGCCAATAACCCTGGAGAGTCAGTACCATCTCCTGGTTTTCAGATGAGCCTTAGGCAAGCTGGGAATGAGCTAAGCACGGCTGGGCTTCCATAGTACTGGGAATGCTCTGCTTCCTGGTTTGGTTCCTGAGAACTCACTGAGCTGTGGACACTTCTGTCACCTTTCCCATTTGTATGTTATACTGCAAACACATTGTATTATACTCAAAGTTACATGCGAACCTTTATTACAGCATTATCCACAATAGCTGAGATAGGTGATTAATTTAAGCCTCTATCAATTTTTGAACGGATAAAGAAAATTATGCTTTTATATATACAGGAATGATTTATGTATGAATTATACATATGGATGGATTACTACTGAGGCATAGATCTTGTCGTCTGTGAAAACATGGGTAGAGCTGGGGGACGTTCTGTTAGGAGAAAGGAGAAGGCAGGCGCAGAACGACCAACACTGCACAGTACTATGTGTTCCCATTGGCATATGGAATATAACACAGTTAATCTCATAAAAGAGAAAAGTAGAACCGCGGTGACCTGGGGCTGGAGCGGGGAGAGTGGACGGGAAATGGAGAGAGATTGGTCAATGGGTATAAAGTTTCCATTGGAAAGGAAGAATAAGTTCTAGTGTGTGAATTATGTAGGATGGCCACGGTCAAGGTGCCAAAGTGGTTCTAAGAGAGGATTCTGACTGTTTCCGCACAAAGGAACAATGAATGAGGCAACAGATTTTAGCCTAATGTGATCATGGCGCAGTACACACATGCACTGAAACATGATACTGTATCCCATGCATTTGTACAGTTATGTCTTAAAAAATTAAAATTGCTTTAAGATTATGCAAAAAATGAGGAAAGCAGAAGTGAACTCAGGACCTTTGCACTGAGCTATGTCCCAGCTTTTTAAAATTTCTGTTTTGAGACAGAGTCACACTAAATCACTAAGTTGCCCAAGTGGGACAGGCTTGAACTTGTGATCCTCCTGCTTCAGCTTCTCAGAGTGTTGGGATTACAGGCGAGCACCACCACTCTTGGCTGTCACTGTCCCTTAAAGCGTGTGATGGGATCTTTCTGTCTGTATGAAAGAAATTAAACTACACTGAGCCACAGAGTGAGAATACTGTGTCCTTTTCAGTTCTTGTCAAGACACTCCGATTCCATCAAGGAGAAAGCCTCTCTGGCATAGCACCTTGTTAACATCGCTGAAACCCTTGCTCACCTTTCTTTTCAGTACAGGGGGAGAAGATTTCAGGCTTAGCAAGCAATTTCTCTAGCTAGACTTCAATAGCACTGTTTTATTTTCGTAACACTAAGTTTTCCACAGCTACCTTCCGAGGCAGATTTGGCTCACAGCCTGCCCAGCATCCACTTCCGCTTTTTTTCCTTAGTAAAAGAAACTTGGTTTTTGCAGCCAGTCAATAGCCCTCATTTCCCAAAGTCCCTCGCAGCTAAGTGGCCAAGTGGCCAATGAGAAGCAAGCAGAACTTGCTGTGCATGACTTTCAGAAGCACTTCCTGGTTAAAAGGTGCACAGGCATATGCCTTTGTCTTTTTTTCTTTCCTGACTGATGCATGAGTGACCGATGCAGCCAACTTGGGCTACAGAGCAGCCTTGATAAGGGAAGCCTGCTAGTAAAACCAGCAAAGCAGATATAAAGGAGGAGTCTAGGGTTCCCAGTGACCGAATTGCATTGCTTTTTCCGTCCTTCACTTTGCGCCCGAAAGAAAGTTCTTACACACATCTGTAATTTCTGCTCTCTGATCCTAGCTGCCAAATGCATTGCTTACTGAAGAATTTTGAATTGGTGGCAAAAGATACAAATCTTCCTTTTATCGTAATATAAAATCCAGTTCATTTTTTAAAAAAATCAAAATAAGCGCCAGAGCATCGAGACAATAACGTTAGGTGTGAATCTGCACGGGCCATTCATGGAATGCAAAATGACAAAGTGGGAAGGGGTTTTAGGAGCCGCTGTAGCAGGCTCTCATGTTTCTTGCCTGCAGAGATTCTGTGAGAACAGAGGTTCTCAGCGGTCCTGGGAGAACCCTTCTCTTGGTTGTCCTGAGGTTTCAGGATCCCCGAGGCTGGTCCAAGCCAAGACACTCACTCACCAGCTGTCTTCCAGTGTCTGTGTGCTGCTTCTTCCCTCCTGCCTCTTTTCCAGCTCCACCGCTGTCTGTTCCAACAGGGCAGACACAGCATCCTGCAGAGACAAAGGCTGAAGGATCAGATGGTCACTGTGGGTTCATGGCCTCTGCCCATGACATGAGCGCAAAGCCTGAGATCAGAATGTCAAGTGTCTTGCCCAAGGTCACATGAACGTTGAACTACGGGCTGCTTGTCCTCCAACTGGTAGTTCTCCAGAGAAATCACCCCTGCATGAGTGCACCTACTGAGCAGAATTTTGGAAGACAGTGAGGTTCAGCAGTGAACTGAGGGAATTACAGTTCTGACAGTATGGAGATCATAGAGTCACCAGGGAGACCTCAGAGCATGATCCATCAGTAACACAACAACAAAGGAGGACTGGGAGAGATGGGAGGATTGTACGCCCAGGAAGACAGAAACAGTAGGAAAGCCTGGGAGCTGCATTCAGGGAGGGCTTCCTGGAGGGAAACATCTATTCTCAATGGTATCTCTGTGAGGAAACTTGTGGGACCTGAAGGAACTATTTAAACTCTTGGTTTCTACTAGTAACTACTAGAAAAAGTCACTGTGAAGATTAAGTGACCTGAACTATACCAGGTATGCAGAAAAGCCCTTAGCACATAGCACTCAATAAGCAGTAGGTGATACAGAGCAAAAATCAGAACCTCATTTTCTGAGTACATGATGGATGAATCTGCAGCCATCGGTGGTAGTGTGGGCAAGAGCTTAGGTAACTCCTGACATTTTCTTTGCAGGGCAGGAAGAAAGAACTCACAGCAGCTGACGTCTTAGTTACAGGCCAAGTAGGAGGACAGACAGATTACATGTAGCATCTTATATAAGTCACGTAACCACTGGGACAGGTTGGGATTGCTGCTCCCCTGGAAGATGAACATGAGGAAACTACCGCGGGAGGGTTGATGTTTCCTACCCAAGGTCTAGAAAGGAGAGGAGTTTGTTTTTAAGACTTCACCAGCTCACTGTCTCCTTTCTGGAGGAAGAAAGCCCTGGGTTCGTGCCTAGCTTTGTTGCTTACCAGATTATGTCTTAATGGAACCGGGTTAATCTGTTTGAGCCTTGGTATACCACACATAATAAAGAGGACAAAGATCAGTGCAAAAGGAGTAGAGATGACAATGATGGAAAAAGGGGAGGAGAATGAGGAGGAGGAAGGAGAGAAAAAGAAAGCGGACTTAATCCTTCTCTTTCCCGAGATGACACAGCCTGTCGCTTCCCTTGAAATTCTGCGCAGTGACCGTCTGGAGTCTACAAAGGGGGGACCAGCGCAGGCTCACAAGACAACAGAGGCCCCACCCCTCTCCAGCCAACTTGTGCTGTGGTCAGGACTCGCAGGGTTCCTGGCTCCACTGAAGCCTGGCCAGTCTGGGCCCAGAGGTGTGGGCCTTGCAAGGGCAGGAAACAGTTGTAAGGATACCGTCACACGCTAAAGTATACTGCACTGAAACAAATATATTTTTTTCAAAGACAGGAAAACATAAAGTTTGCAAGAAACTCAAAATAATAATGGAACAATGATCATTTATTAAGCCCTTCTATCACATGCTCTTTTGTTTTTTTTGTTTCTTTTTTAGGTTTTGGTTTGTTTGTTTTGAGAAAGGGTCTATGCAGTGCAGGCTGGCCTTGAACTCACTGTGTAGCCCAGGCTGACCTCAAACTCATGGTGATCCTCCTGCCTCAGCCACCCAAGTGCTGGGATCACACACAGGCTTGTACCACTACACTAGGCCTAGGTTTTGGTTCTTTTGAGACAGGGTTTTACTATGTAGCCCAGGGTGGCGTTGAACTGGTGGTTCTCCTGCCTCAGCCTCCAGAGTGCTGGGACTATAGGTGTGTAGCATCATGCCTGATAACTCTAAGTGCTATTTACAGGGATTTCTTCCAAGCCTCATAACAACCTTTTAAGGCTCAAGATAGACACAAAAACAACAGAGGCTCAGAGAGGTGACCTGCCTGATTCCTGCAAGTCCAAACAGGTCTCTCGTTTCTGTCCTTTCCTTGGCTCCCTGATCCCTCTTGTACACCTTCCGTGGTGGACTTTACAGTAGTGTTTTGTTTGTTTTTTTTTGTCTTTTTGAGATAGGGTCTCACTATGCAGCTGAGGCTGGCCCTGAGCTCACTTTGTAGCCTAGTCTGGTCTCCAACTCGCAAAGATCCTCCTGCCTCAGCCTCCTGAGTGCTGGGATTACAGGTGTGCACCAGGCCCAGCCTTTTCTCCTTCTCTAGTTCATATTTTTCCTTTTTTTTTTGGTGCTAGCGCCCTGCACTGATAGGCAAATGCCCTACCACTGACCTACACCTCTGGCCCCAGCCCCTGTGCTTCATTTTTTACTAGCTGTGAATTGAGGTTTTTGTTAGGCAAGTGATAGTAGAAAAGCAAAATACAGATGCAGATGGTGCAAGCTGCAGCTGTGGAACTACCTGGCTCTTCATCAAGACCCCTCCCCAAGCTCCTCTCCCTGGCCCTTTGCCCTACTGGGACCACAGCTGCTGCCCAGGCTGTCTGGTTCCAGGAGGGGCTCTCGCGCCCCTCACCCAGGTGCTGCGCCTGTGCAGGGTGGATACAGACCCTAGCCCAGCTCACCTCGCTCTCAGGTCCTGGAGTGGAGGCCGTGGCTCCCGCTGGCTTGGGCTCCCTGCTTGGTTTGTTCAAGTATTTGTAGCTCAGGAGGTTGTACCAGCGCGTCGACCTCTCCCCGGACCGGCAGACCTCAGCCAGGCTGATCTGGGCGCCGCCCTGTTGGGGACGGAAGAAAAGCCCCAGTGTGAGTCAAGGTCCTAAGCATTTGGCTCCAGGGGATAGAGTGGAAAACACCTTGGCAGGTGAGACAGAGGCTTCCAGGGAAGAAAAAAGGGCTGAGTGTTATCTCCAGTAACTCATTCATTTGGTGGCTTACTCATTTGCAAAACCTCTTCTTTGTTGTTTTAAGACAAAGGGTCTTGCCGTGCTGAATACGCTACCCTTGAACTCCTAGGTGCAATGATCCTCTTGCCTTAGTCTCCCGAAGGGGGCAGGTGTGTGCCAAGCATCTCTCTCTCTCTCTGTGCTGAGAATTTAACTCTGAGCCTTGTGCATCCCAAGCCCCTAGTCTACCATTAAGCTACATCCAAAGCCCTCATTTGCCATATCTTTACTAAGCATCTATCCTGTGCTTTCTTGTCTTTTTTTTTTAAATTGTAATTTAAAAACCTCACATGACATAAATGTATCACCCTTAATTTGAAGTGTACCATTCCAGAGTATTAAGCATATTCCCACAGCTGTGAAACAGATCTCTAGAACTTCTCAATCTTTTTTTTTTGAACTTCTCAATCTTGCAAATCTGAAATTCTGTACTTAGCATTGAGTACCTTTCCCATGCTAATCATACTCACCATTAAGTTCTGGGATGGTTCCCATGCAGTCCTACTTTCCAGGAGCCATCATTACCCAAGCAAATCAATACAGACCAAGTAGGGACAAGCAAGCTGAAAACCATCGACCACTCCACTCACACCAAATCTACAAACATCTAAAAAGTTGACCAAACAAGTTGTTGGTAAGGCTACGAGGACACAGCTAATCTCTCACCTTGCTGGTGGGGATATAAGACAGCAGAAACCTTCTGGAAGGGATTTGGCAATTATCCACATAAAACACGGACACCTTTTACTCTTGGACCCAGCAATGCTCCATGTAAATGTCTATCCCACAGATAATCTCCGCACAAGCACAAAATGAACCACAAAGAAGAATCTTTGCTGTGGTTCCCTCTGTAATAGTAAGGTTTTAAATACCTTAAAGGTCCACCAGCAGGGGGTTGTTGAATAAAATGGGGTATTACACAGCTGTGTCAAAAATGAGGAGGATCTCTTTGTACCGATGCAGAGAGACCACCAGGATATGGAGCAGGATAGAACATTCAGCGTGTTATTTTTGGTACAAGAGACGGAGAACAGGACAGAAGATAATTTTATCACACCATGTTTGAGGTGCAAGGGGGAGTCAGTGATGCTCACAGAATCATTTGTGAAAGTGGAAACATCAGAAAGTAAAGAAGAAACAATGAAAATGGCAATTATAGAAGGTGGACGGGAGGGGAACAGCTGGATTTCTCATTAGCAAATCTTTCTTATAGTTTTTCTTTGAATCACATACGTGAAAATGAGCTCCAACAAATTAACCTATTAAGTACAACCCTATTAAGTATATTAAGTATAAGCATAACCCATAGAGAAAAGAATTAATTCAAGTAATTTAATCTTTTTTCCTGAACATCCTTAGTTGAAAGACCTACAAACTAACTTTAATTATTCCCCAGAGGTTTAATTTTTTTTAACCAGTCCTTTTTTTTGTCCAAGAGCTCTGGTCAGATAGAGATTTAACTCATTCTCCCTGCTCTTCTTTGTTACCACACACCAGGGACTGTGCCAGTGGGTGGTAGAACACCAGGCAAGGGCTCAGGAAAAGAAAGGACTTTTTAAATTAATTTTATTTATTTATTTATTTATTTATTTATTTATTTATTTATTTTCTTGCAGTACCCAGGGACTTGAATGTGCGAGACGACTGATTTATCTTTGAGTTTTATCCCCAGCTTTTTAAAAAAATTGAGACAGGGTCTCATTAAGTTGTCCAGGGTAGCTTCAAGCTTGCAGTTCTCTTGCCTCAAGCCTCTCGAGGCACTGGGATTACAGATGTGCACCACTGTGCCAGGCAGGAAGGCTTCTTCAAGTCACTAGCAATCCTTGCTCCTAGTTTCTTCTTCTACATGCTGAGCATTTCTAATCCAAAACTCTGTACTTCAAATTCCAAAACTTTTTCAGCACCAACATGATGCCATAAGTGGAAAATTCTACACCATTTTAAGGTACAAAATTACCTTTTTTTTTTTTGGTCTTTTTGAGACAGTGTCTTGCCGTGCAGTTCAGTCTGGCCTTAAGCTCACTTTGTAGCCCAGGCTGGTCTTGAACTTGCAAGAATCCTCCTGCCTCAGCCTCCTGAGTGCTGGGATTACAGGGGTGAGCCACCACGCATTTAAATGGTCTCACTCTGTGTACTGGGAAAGAAAAGAAGAGAGAGAAGGACAGAACTGGGGAGACCTAGAAAGAGATTACTACAATCACACAGACGAGAGATGACAGGGTTTGGGTCAGAGGATGTGGTGAAAATGGACTGAGTCTGGGGATTTTCAGAAGGGGAAGCTAGCAGGATGGTCTGTGAAAGCAAGAAAGTGGTCAAGGGCAACTCCCTTGTGCCTCACCTGAGCGATGGAAGGATGGGGCTGCTACCAGCTGAGACAGTGAAGACACGGGACGACAGACGAGGGGCACTCTGTGGCCACCCTGATTTGGGGTGCTTATGAGATGCCTAACAGAAGATGTAGAATAGGAGTGGAAACATAAAGTCAAGGAGTAGAGAGGCCCGGATGAAGCACACACCAGAGATAGTGTTCGAAACGGGGAAGCAGGGTGAGATCCAAGGAAGCGACTAGCAAAGGGGAGGGGAGCGAGGACTGAGCGCTGCGGCACTTGACACGGAGAGGTCAGGGAAACGAGGCGGAATCAGCACCTGAGACCCTGAGAAAAGCCAGAAATGGGGAAAGACTAGGAGAGAGCTGTTGGAGAAGCCAAGGGCAAGGGCTGTCAAGAAAGATGGCGGGAAGAGCTGGGCAAGTGCGGCTGGCAGGTCAGGAAAGGTGTGAGTGTAGAAGCGGATGCCGGATTCAGTAACAAGGAGGTCAGGGACGGGCGTGCTTTCAGCGGAGTGATGAGGGCGAAGCCTAGGCAGATGGTTAGACAGAGAAAGTGAATGCCTCTTTCAATTTTTTTTAAAGAGGAAAAAACTAACACAATAACAACAACACAGACAAAAACAAAGCAGCACAAAAACAAAAAACATACAGGATTTCAAAACAAGATGATAAAAATTAACAATGGTTGAGAGAACTACAAGCCAATCTCCCTAATGAACACAGATGCAAAAATTTCCAATAAAATACTAGCAAACAGAATGCAGCAGATCATCAAGAAGATTATACATCATGACCAAGTGGGATTCATTTCAGGAGTGCAGGGATGGTTCAATTTATGCAGATCAATAAATGTAATACACCATATCAATAGAGCCAAAGACAAAAAGAAATCACATGATCTTCCCAATAGATGCAGATAAAGCTTTTGATAAAGTCCAACACTCATTCATGATAAAAACCCTACAGAAAATCAGAATAGATGGCCTTTTTTTTTTTTTTTTTTTGGTCTTTTTGAGACAGGGTCTCGCTATTCAGTTCAGGCTGGCCTTGAGCTTACTTTGTAGCCTAGGCTGGCCTTGAACTCACAGTGATCCTCCTGCCTCAGCCTTCTAAGTGCTGGGATTACAGGCGTGTGCTAACACGCCTGGCCCTAGAATAGATGGTCTTTACCTCACTCTGATAAAAGCTATCCATGACAATCCAATAGCCAACATCATACTAAGTGGACAAAAACTAAAAGTTTTCACTTTAAAATCAGGAACAAGACAAGGATGTCCACTGTCACCCCTCCTATTCAGCATAGTTCTGGAAACATTAGCCAGAGCAATTATAGACAACTATGACAAGGAATAAAGATAGGAAAGGGAGAAGTGAAATCATCATTATTCTCAGATGACATGATACTCTAAATAGAAGACCCTAAAAACTCAACCAAAAGGCTTACAGAATTAATAACCAAATACAAAGTCAACACTCTTTCAATTTTTACTACAAAGAAAAAGGAAGAAACAATGTCACAGTTGGAAGTGGACACTGGGTAAAAAGAAGTTGTTTTTTTGGAGCATGGGAGAAGTGAGAGAATGTTGGTGTATCGGGAGGCTGAACCCAGTTGAAGACACAGGAGAGAGCAGGGGAGCAACTGTGGAGTGATGTCCTGGAGCGGGAGAGGGAGGAAGAGGCTGCCTGCAGACAGGAGTGCGGAAGGTCCATCCTTAGAGACCGGAGGAACAGCGGGAGCTATGAAAGCAGCTCCACATGGGGTGGGAACAGTGAGCGCTCTATTCAGGCTCCTGCACTCACTGCGGGAGAAGAAGGTTGAGTTAGGCACTGCAAGAGGGACAGGAGACGAGCCAGTCTGTCAGCTGGACACCATTCATGGTTTGCAGGATGACAGCAACTTGACACTTTTCAAAGGGCAACACCCGGCGTAGCTGTGTGTTTTTGTCCAGTTGCACAGGTGGAGAGGAGGCGGTGGAGGGATCCTTTGACAGGGCTGGGGTTTTGCCAAGCGAGTAGGGCCAAGCGACAAGGAACAAGGGGGCTGTTAAGAGTGGCTAACTACGGAGCTTGGGAAGCGGGCCGCAGCGACAGAACCCGAGCTGATCACACATAGCCTAACGGCTGAGCGGTGGGTGGAGCGTGTGGCAGAGTTGTCACCTGTGGTTTGTGATCTTGTGGGAGACAGCCCTGATGTTCCGCTCAGCACATAATCTAGGTCGGGGGAAACGACATCCCTAGCATTAACCTTCCGAGGGAGCACAGTGCGAGGCTGGTCATCTGCGTACTTGTGCTAAGGGGTAAATGAGATGCTGCACACAAAGCTCCTGGCCCAACAGCAGTCTCGGACAGTGCCCATCACGGGTACTGTTGCTGGTGCCTGGGTCATTAAATGGCTTGACCTAGACTGGGGATTCCACAGACCCAGCAATGCAGGGCGACTCCGCGTGGGAGCAGACAAGCCCTTTCTCCCTCCTGTCTCACTTCCTTTCCTCCTATAGCTACCAAAACACAACAGCCTGACACCCATGTCCCCGCTATGTGCAGTAAAGGAGGCTTCCCATTGGTCATGGACAGAGACAAGCCACAGTGAGATGAGCGCTTTGGCTGCTACCATGGCAACCACGATGGCCAGACTTCCATTAAGGAGGAGGAATAAAAGGCATCCACTTAGGGGAGGAAAATAGGATTGAGTCCCTTCTCATTTAGGAATGCCCAGGGCCGAGGGAATGCCTCACTGGAGGAGCCTGGGCTCAGAAAAGCTGCCTGCTCTGTCATTCCACATCCACGATGCTGGCCAGACCCTTTTAGTCACCATCCCCACCCACAGCCTTCAGGGAGCCCTGAACAGAGACAGCACAGAGGGACTGATGTGTGAGGGCTTCAGATGTGGACCTGCTGGGGTCAATTATAGCTTCTGCAGCTTCCCAGCCTTAGGCAATGTCTCTCACCTCTTTGGGCACCGGCTTCTCCACTAGTATATAACAACCTAGTTTACCAAACGGGAATGAGGGTCCATAGAGACAATGCATGTCAGGAACATGGCTCAGTGCCTATCCCTTATTGTTTTACTGTCAATAATAATACCATAAGTGGCAGTGGTGCTGTTGCCGCCCCAGCTGGGCAGGAAAGGGAAAGGAACTGATGTCTAGTGAGCACTGCGCATGTGCTGACACTTTGTTCCTCTGCAGCCTTACTGCATGAAGAGTGACCCAGGGATGGGCAGCACTGGCATTCTCTGAGAGGGCTGCTAGAAACGTGGCACGTCAGGCCCCAGCCAAGATTTGTTTTTTTTTTTTTTTTTTTTTTTTGGTACCAGGAATCAAATTCAGGACCTTGCGCTTGCCAGGCAGGCGCTTATGCCGCTGAGCTATATCCCCGGCCCTAGCCCAGACTTGCTGAATCCAAACCTGCGTGTTAACCAGAGCTCCAGTGTGCCATGTGTGCATGCACGTTCCAGGTAGAGAAACAGTTTGTGTTTCACTGAACTCTTGAGAACAGCCTGCAAGGTAGGCAGGATGAGCTGGATTTTACAGATCCAGGAGATGAGACTGAAAAATTAGGGTGAGGTAACAGGGCAGGAAGGGTAATCACACCCTGAGATCGTGACGCTGTAGCTCCACAACAGAGAAGGGTTTTCTAGCCCCATCAGCCCCAGGCAAGGCCGGACAGCTCAGAAGCTCCTCTCTGCAGTCAAGGCCTGTGGCTCACCCCAGGAGAAAGGAGACCAGCCTGCGCAGGGTGCAGGGACCACCACTGCCGTTCTGTTACCCTGTGGACATGGAGGCTGGGAGAAGGCTCAGGGACACATGAACATCCGGGTCGCCCCTCTGCGTGGGCTCCACATTATCCTGTCACCGCAGCACAGGACTCGTTTCCAGCACGGCCCTCAGCACTCCTGTTTCTGTATTAGCTGACAAAGCTGGCTCCTTGTTGGAGCGGTTTTCCCACAGGACCCCCATCGCCCAACCGCGGGTGGGCACCTAGGAGACGTCCAGTAACGACGAGTGAGCAGAGCTTCTCTTGGCACCCATGCTGACTGACTGACTCCTCATTAAAACACATGAATGTCTTAAGTAGCATCTTAAGTGCCTAAGTAACATCGGGGTTCATGGAGGCCTTTACTCCTCCTAACTCATTCGTACACCACAAGCCTGGGTTAACCGTGAATCCTCCCTTGTCCACATGATAAGACTGGACAACACCCATCTGCACTCCTTGCCTATCTCAAAGGGCACGCCCTTCTGAGGACACAAACATACCCAACTTCATCTCTAACTCCTGCCAATGCAGTGAGGCGGGGGAGGAAGCGAGAAAGAGGAGGAGAAGAAAGAGGAAAGTCAGAGGAGGACCTCTGCTATAGATCAGGTGTTCAGGGTGGTATGGCCATAGACGCTTGGACCTCTGTTATAGAAAGGGACCAGCAATGGCCCAATTCAGTGAAAACCTACTGTGTGTCAGACACTTAGATGCTTGCATGAACTGTCTCATTTAATCCTTTTAATGACCCTCTGGAGGCACTATTTAAATATCACAGATGAGAAGGATGGAGATCAGAGAGGTTAAATAACTTGCGTAAGGACAATCAGCTACACAGAAAGTGAAGGCAGGACTGGAACGTTGGTCTGTGCCTTTTGTCTAGTCTCCAATGCAGCACAGTAAAGCTCAGGCAATGCTTACCATCTTCCAGGACCTCTCAGGTCTAATGAAAAAAAATTTTTTTTTGAGACAGGGTCTCACTATGTAGTTGAGGCAGGCATGGAACTCATGGAGATTCTCTTGCCTCAGCCTCCTGAATGCTGGAATTATAGGCATGCGCCACCACACTCAGCTCAGATCTACTTTTCTTCTGAAAGGAGATTCCCCCTGACTCCCCATCCTATCTGAGAATACTTTCTTGTGGAGTCATCTCTGCCTATAACCCAAGATGTGCTGGGTTCTCAACTCCAACCCACATTGCCTTCAGATCTTTTTTTTTTTTTTTTTTTTTGTCTTTTTGAGATAGGGTCTTGCTATACAGTTCAGGCCTTGAGCTAACTTTGTAGCCAAGACTGGCCTCAAACCTGCAAGATCCTCCTGCCTCAGTCTCTGGAGTGCATGCACCACCACACCCGGCTCAGATCTTTTCTTGTGTGGTGTAGGGATCTAACTTAGGGCCTCATGCACATTAGGCAAGTGCTCTATCACTGTCCCCAGCTCTTTTTTACTTGATTTTGAGAAGAAGCCTTGCTAAATTGCCCAGGCTGGCCTTGAACTTGTGATCATTTTGCCTCAGCTTCCCAAGAAGACAGGCTTATAAATGTGTACCACCATGCTTCTCCTTGAAACCCCCTACAAGCTCAGGGTGGACCAACTCCCAGAAGGGCCAAAGGCCAGGCAGATGGACAGAATGACAGACACAGCACTCACCAGGCACTCCTCCGCATGGCCCTGGTCAGTGGTGCACACATCGACTCGTAAGGTTTTCTGGCGAAAGGCTGGGTAGGACATGGATACCCAGAAAGCTTCGTTGAACACGAGGCTGTCAGAGGCATCCAGGGGCCGGGTCCGAAACAGGCAGGTGGTGCTTTCAGAACAGGGAAGGACGGCCACACGGATGTTCCTACAGGGAGACAGAATCGCAAGAGAGCAGGGTTCAGCTAGCGTGTAGGCCAATATGTGGGGTTCAGCAGCTGCTGAAATTCCCCCCAAAAACAGTAGCAGAAGAATTTGGAGAATGTGTCAAGACATTGCACTGGTATTTGTGAGGCAAGCAGGAAGGGCCTCAGACTGCTCTTCCTACCCCTGGATCCCGAAATTTTCAGAATCTCAGCATGCAGAGCCTGAGGTGCGTTGTGTACAAACGCTGTGTGCAGAGGGGTCAGAGAGGGTTGCCTGTTACACCGAGGAGTCAGGGGAATCGAACCCCTCAGACACCTAAAGCAGAACACCATGCCCCACGCAGAGAGGTATGTAACAAAACTACAGACGCATTCATTCTTGGACCCACATAGCGCTCTTTGGCGCTATCTTTTTGCACAGATATGTGCAAAAGTATCAACAAGGTACAGAAAAGATTATTTGTCCTGGCACTGTTGATATGGGCAAGGGCTAGAAAGAAGTCAAGGGTCCATTGTTGTCTGTCTTTCCACTTCTCTCCTTCCCCCATGTCCCACCCCCAGGCTGGCTGGCTGTGGTTCCTACTGCTGCCCTCTAGGCCAGTGGTGGAGAACCCACAGCACGCAGGCTGCTGCCGACTGTTTGTATCATTGACAGTTTGCCACCACCGCTCCAGACCTTACAGACAAGCTGCAGGAGCCAGCAGGTGGGGAGATGAGTGCAATCCAGCTTATACCTGCTCTGAATGGGAAGAGCAACAGCCCATAGCGCAGGTGTTTTCTGTTCAGGTAACACCTAGTCACATCCTTGCAAGGGGTGTAGTGACTAGCACCGAACCTTTAAAACGGGAGACCCATTCCTTTCTGCATGGAATGTCTGAGCTTCATAAAGACAAAATGTACTGTGACCATTTCTTCAGGAGGGCAGCTTTTATGAGGGATTGGCTTGCTACCCCATTCCCAGAGCTGGCACAGAGGTGCCAGGATGTATGAGGGGAGGGGTGGAAAATGTCCAGGGGACCTCTCTCTGTAGCTGGGTGAGTGTGCTGCTATGCCTGCACGTACATGAACAGGACAGACCTTCAGTGTCATGGCCATACACATTAAGTCGCTGCAGCAGTACTCGGAGTTGGAGGAGGACAGAGCAGCAGAGTGTCCCCAGGGAGGGCCACAGAGGGGAGAGGAAAATTCCCGACCACCCAAAGCCATACTCACACTTTCTGGTCTTGTTGCGGTAGCAGAGCAGAAAGGTTACTCAGCTGAATAATTAGTATTGCAAACTGCTTATTCTTCTCATCATACCTGAAGTGAAAAGATGCACATGGGATACCTGTTAGGAGCCCATTTCCCTCTTTCTCTTTTACTAATCCCAGGATGTGGCTACTTTGGGCACTGTGGCAAGCTACACGTGCATATCTAGAGCTGCCAGTCGTCTCCATTTTTAAAGATGGCCCACGTGACATTTCTAATTTCCCATGAAAATGAACTGTTGGCAATTAATTTCTATTAAAAAGAATTGAAGTCAACCCTCAGCAAGAGAATAACGTGTGTATCAGCTGAATCTGGGCTGCAGCTGCCAGGGGTCACCTTGGGTCCAGATGGTTGGAACCTGGGCAGGGATGGGAAGCCAAAAGTCTGGGTGAAAATGAACAAACCTCTGTGCAGACAGGAGGTCTGTCCTGGCTCTGGCTCTACAGCTGTCCTGCTCAGTGTGCTGGTGCCAGTACTAAGGTCTTTCTAAACCTGATGTTCTCCATCTGTACAATGGGGAGCAGGGAGGTAGGGAAGGAATGGGGACCCCTTTCGTGGGGAGCCCACTGTAGTTCTGCTTCCCTGGCTGCTTAGCTGTCAGAGTGAGTGCTACTCAAGTGCAGTGGATGAAGCAGGCGCCCAGCCAGACCCTGCCACAGGCCTCACCCTCCCTGACACTTACTTCAGAGCAACCTGGACCCGAGGGGCACCCATGACTTCTGATTCATCACTGTCAAACGCAGCTGCTTCTGGAGCACCCAGTCTGAAAGGCAGCAGGAGAGAGGGGAGTTGGGTTCTCTGTGGCGAAGGGGAACAGAGACATTTTCTGGACGCAGGACTCCCTCTGGGAAACTGGTTGGGTCTTCCAGGAGACTGGTTCTGCTCGGCATCTCTGCGGAGCCTCTTTCCTGGCATGTGCTTGGACCCCTCTCTAGAAGGTGCTTCTGTTTCTCTAGTTCTTGCTCCTCTCACACACACTTTGCAACCACCACCCCAGAATCAGCTCCTTCCAAATCGGAGCCATCTCCAGCCCTAGGAGGACCAGCACCATCCATGCACATCTTTGCTGTCTGCATCTTCTCTTGTTTTGCTCAGCCTTATCCCCGCCCCCAGGAAAGGTGAGGTCACTAAAAAATGCCTTCCCGAGGGCGGACATCTGGGGGATCCAAAGCCCAGGCCATCTCATGGTTCTGCGCTGGCATATGCAGAGTTCATGGTCTTCACGGACACAGGAAGCAGCATTAGTGGACCCACCTTTGCACAGAAGCCTCGTACACACCACTGTCCCCAGCCACGGACTCATCGGACACTGCAGCCGAGACACAGGCCACCTGCAGGCCACATCCTTGAACGGAACTCACAGCTGGAGGAGGAGAGGGAAAAAGGAAGCTGGAAACGGAGGCTCACAAACCAGGACAGTGTCTTCACAACACAGTCTTGACCCGCCTTCCACTCTGAATTCTAAAGCAAGGCCCTGGTTTGCTTCGGGGCAGAAGAAGAGGTCACATATGACTTCATGTTTAATATGCATGCTCTGGGGTCAAATGCCTGAGCTCAAACGCAGCCCCCCACTTACCACTCTATGGCCCTGCTGTATGGATTTAACCTCCTTAGGCATCAGATTCCTCACTGTGAAACGGGGAGAATACTAACTCCTTGACAGGGCTGTTGGCCTTGATAGGCGACTCCATAAGACACGACAGAGGGCAATCTTGAGAGAGAGAGTGGGACAGCGCAAGTACCCTGCCAAGCTCATACCACTGTTCTGGCCGTTACTGTATCTGACACAGGGGTAACGGCTCTACATCCTTCCCTACAACCTGGGACAAAATGAACAGCTGAAACCTCAGAAGAGACAAGGGAGGGATTTAGCACCTGCTGACTCACTCAGCCTAGCCTTTCTGCTCTTAATTCTGCCACTCCATCTCCCTATCATTAACAGACGTCTGTGAAATCCTCTGACGTGGGGCACGCGACGGAGGGCTCTGCACGGGGTGCTCATCCCGCCTTTGCCTGGGTGATGAGCACCGAGGTTGTGCACAGCCCATACCCGGACCGGGTTCAGAGCTACAAAGATGAATACAGTCCCTGCCCTCCGTGGGATGGGGACGGCCAAAGAGGAGTTTGCAAGCTCACAGCATACACATCCGGGCTCTGCTGAGCGCCAGGTACGAGGGTCCGGTGGGAGAAGAACGGTGCTGGCAGCGCAAGGTGCACAGCGACTGGAACCCGAGGCTGGGGACAGGGATGAGCGATGAGAGGAGCTTGGGGTCGGCGAGTGCTGGGACGGGGAAGGGGCTTTCCCAGCCTACGACCCATGCCTGCTGCGCCCACCGAGACCCCCCGCCTTCACACCCACGCATCTCCACCCTCTGCTAAACCACTTAAGGAGATTAATTTGTCTGCTGACTGAACAGCGGCACTAATCGCATAACCTGCTTAGCGTCGGAGCTCTCCCTTGCACAGCTTGCTGTGGCCCAGGCTTCTGGAGATGGCAGGAAGGAAATGTGCCCAGCCCCATGGGCTGTCTCTGGCCCGCGGGCCTCAAGCACACTGTCAAGCAGCGCCGGTGGAGGCAGTTACCTCTCTGGACTGACTGGAGTCTGGGGCTCCCGCCGTAGCTCAATGCCCTCATCAGAGACATTTCTTAAGCCTGTTAGAGGTTCCGCCGGCGCCCCCTCCCCCGGGGAACAATTTGCTGAAGTTGCCACCTGCTGTAGTAGGAGGCTTGTTTTTATTTTTGTTTGAGAGCACGCAGCAAGACTCCCTTCCTGATGAAGGAACCCCAGGGGTCTCTCCGCTCCTCTTCCAAAGAAAGCACTGGCACTCGGAGCCTTTGATGAAGCAGGGACCCCCGCCCCCATTTCTAGCCTGGCTTCCCCTGGCTCGTGCACATAAAGGGAGACTTCTGGGCATGAGAGCAGCAGCCCTGCCCATGGCTGAGACAGGGCCAGCTCCTCCTCGCTGGTCTCATAAAGAACACAGAGCTGGAGCCCTTTGCAGGCAGATCTGTGCACATGCAATAGAGGAGGTTCAGCCAGGTGATCCCACTGCCAACCCTGATCCTGCTGCTTCACTGCAGTCTTTCATTTCTCTCTGCCTCACTTTCTCCATCTGTAAGGCAAACTAAAAAGCCCCATGGGCGCTAACTGAGCACCCTGCTCTGTCCAGAGCCAGATTGACTTGGTGGCACTAGAAAACACCAAGAGCATCACAGGAATCAGTGTCCCGAGCTGCCTCGGGTCCTAGGGTGCAAGTGGGGGGAAGGCACGACAAGAAAGGCACTGGGCTCTGAGATCAGAAAGACCAGGGTTCCAATCTCTGCCTTCTCATCCATGTCTGCGTGACCTAAGGCAGAGAATGTTAGCTCTGAATCTTCATTGCTTCATACACAGCTCCAATAAATGTTAACTATTCTGACTTATTGTGTAGTTGTTGCTGAAGAGCTTTCTTCCTACTGTAGTAGATTTAACTGTGGTCATCATTCATTCTGAAGATTCCAACTTGGACGTCAGACTGTTCTTTCTGACCCTGCGTGGAGTGGGAATCGGATCCGATCGCTCCCTGCTTTTCCACGGAATGAGTCTCTGCGGCATCACGTGGTCCTACTGCAATCAGGGTAAAATCTGAACTTCTAAAATCTCACCGAGTCTTACATGGTCAGGACTCTGCCTCACTCTCCAGCAACGGCGGTGATGCCACACTTCTGACTAACAGCTTCCCAGCCCCTCTTTGGCCCCTCTTTTCTCCTACTTCTTCCAAGGCTGGCTTCTTTTTATCATTCATTCTACTCCACTGTCACCTTCCTTTGTAACCGGCCCTGAACTGCTGGTCCCTCTGCAAGCAGAAAGGCCCTAGCACATGCCCTGTGCTGTTTACTTCACAGCGCTCCCATCTTGCTGCATGTTTATTTCTGTGCCTCCATGTGAACATAAGCTTCTTGAAAACAGGGCCTGGGTCTGTCTTCAAAACTGTATCCTGAGTGACTAACCCAGTGGGTGGCAGATGGCATATCCGTTGAACACATGGGGGAACGGAATCCATGTACATCCATTAGTGCAGGATCTGGCATTTAGTTTTAGTACTGAATACCTGCTGAATAAATAAATCTACCAGGAAAACCCTTTGCACAAACCCGGAGCATACTGGGCTAACAGATGTCTACTGAATGAATAAACAATCTACCATGTAAAGACCTGGCACACAGAAAGCAGCTGGTAAGCGTCACCATAGTTACCATGTTGAGGGGAGACACTCCATGTGCAAAGCACCCTTTCCTCCTTGCTTCCCACCCTCTGGATCTGCGCCGCCTACCTTGGCCCAGGGGCTTGCCCTCCGCCCCTGGCTCCTCCAGCCGGTATCTGTCCTGGGTACTGCCACCAAGGTTCAGCTCGCAAAGAGTGGGACTCAGCTCTGGGTCTTCATACTCCAGGGGGTTCAGGAAGGCATCTCCAGCCAGGAGGGGGTCGGTGATGAGAGGGGAACATGGGGGGGATGGCGAGGAGAGAGAGGAGCGTGGAGACAGGGAGGTCATGGACTTTGGGGTGCCAGACAGGGAGCGCAGGGCCTGCAGGCGGCTGCCCCCCTCAGCCTTCTGGGTCTTGGCCACCTCGTCCTCATGGATGGTGGTAATGCAGCCAGAGGGCCGGAAGCCCGTGGGTCCTTCCAGGAACAGGAGCTCCACCTTGCTCTGCAGCTCCGAGTCCAGCTGCTCGAAGGGGTCATAGTAGAGGTCTGTGAAGCTGGCGGAGGCGGAAGAATCCAGGCTGGAGGCGGCCAGGGAGCCTCGGCTGGAGGTGAGGGATCCAGGGCTGCTCCCTGAGGACAGGGACTGCATGCTGCTGGACAGGCTGAGGAGGGAGAGGACGGTGAAGACACAGTGAGGAGGGTCACCTGGAACTCTGCCGAGCCCGGGAAAGCACCACGGGCACTGAGAACACACGATCCCCTTAGGCTCACTTTCCAGCAGCCAGGGTAGCCCATGCGCCCCCTCTTCCCAGGCACGCTGAGAAGCCCATGTCACCAGACAGAGCACAGCCGGGATGAAACCCTTGGCAGCTGCCTCAGAGACCCACGTTTCCCTTCTAACTCTGTTTCCCAAATCTCCACTGGGCACGTTGCATTCTTGTACTGTTCCATATCTGAATGCAGCCTAGAACACTTTCTAATACCTTTCCTCAAGTCAACTCGCTCTTTTTTTGTTTTTTTTTTTTTTGCCGGTACCAGGAATCGAACTCACGACCTGGCGCTTGCCAGGCAGGTGCTGGGCCGCTGAGCTAAATCCCCAGCCCTCCAACTCACTCTTTTAACCTCAAAAATATTCATCTTAAAAGGAAACGTGCTGTTTGAAAAGCAATGTCACTTTCTACACACAGAAGAGAGCCAAGAGGAAAAACTTAGACGAGCACAAAATGCTGGCATTGAATTCCAGCGATACACCGTTGCCCACCACAGCCCAGTCTAGAGCCTACTCCATCTGGGTTGTGAAAGTGGGTCAGTGGGCAGAAGTGCGTGTGTGGGCATGCAGGTACCTGACGGGGCCTTCTCTGTGTGAGCAGCCCATCCGGGTAAAGAACTCTGTCCCTGGCCGCACCAAGCCAGGCCCAAATTGGCTAAGACAACCACCTTCCAAGTTTCTACACACCCCGACTCAATCCATGGAGAGCAGAGCTGGGCTGCGCCACCTGAGAACACCTGCATTCCCGGGGGGACACCCACCGCCCACCACCCACCTTTTCAGCTGCGAGTGCAGAGTGGCCACCTGCCGAGTTGCTTCCTCCAGCTCCCTCACCAGCTGGTTCCTCTTACTGTTTAACTTCAGCCTGGAGGGAGAGAAAGGCTCAGTGAGAAAGGATTCAACCCTCCTCCTCCCACCCAGCTCCCCCGAAAGGAAGCGCGAGCATGTGCGCTGACAGAGGGCACAGACCAAGGACACACATACACACCCTCCAGGAAGAATTTTACTGTGGTGCCGGGAAGGAGTCTAACCTCTACTTCCATGATGATCCCACGGTAATTACTCTATGAATCGCCATAGGCACAGGGCAAGGGACCTTGAGACTGCCTTTAGCTGCACAGTGATGGCAAGAATGATTTTTACCATTTTACAGATAAGGAAAATTGAGGCTCTTAGTATTAAATAATTTACTTCAAGCTACGGAATTAGTGGAAGGATTTAGGTTTCACTCAAAAGTCCCTCTTTCTCTTTCTTTCTCCCTTTCTCCCTTCTTCCCTCTTTCTCTTCTCCAACAGTTATTTCCTTCCTTCTTTTGTCTCCCTTTCCCTCCCTCCCTCCCTCTTTTCTTTCTTCAACTAATATTTATTTATTTATTTATTTATTTTTTGTCTTTGTGAGACAGGGTCTCCCTATGCAGTTCAGGCTGCAGCACCTTTGAGCTCACTTTGTAGCCCACGCTAGCTTCGAACTTGCAACGATCCGCCTGCCTCAGCCTCCTGAGTGCTGGGATTACAGGCGTGCGCCACCATGCCTGGCTTCAACTAATATTTAGTGAGTGATGCATCACACTGGGTGCTGCCCAGTAGGGATAAGGCACTGCTCTTGTGGAGAAGGATCCAACGGGGCTACATACATTCTACCAGGGAGAATAGAACAGAAAATTAAGAAATACTCAGAGACCTAATTAGTGCAGAGTGGGACAAGGTCTATCGGGGAAGCAGAGACTAATTGGAAAGAACATTAGGGACATCTAATTGGAATTTGAGGAAGCCTCTTTGTGGCTGAGACCACTGGTGCTCACCCGTCTGTGACCTAAGTTCCTGGGCTCACAGAGGGACCATTTTCCCAGACTCCCTTGCTGCTCGGTAGAGCACATGACTGAGCTCTAGCCAATGAGATGTGAGCAGAAGCCATGTGTAGGTATCAGGCTGAAGTGGTTAGGGAAATGGGCAAAACAGTGTTTCACACTGACTCTTGTGGCTTCAGGGTGGGAGGCAGGACAGATGGAAAGAGCCTGTGTTTTTGAATGACCACACAAAAGACTGCTGGTTACTATGAATGCCCAATCAATGACTGTATGAGCAAGAAATACATTTCTATTGTTCAAATTCCCAGAGGAATTCTTGTAGCACATCATGTAGCATGTGGATGTCCTACCAGTAGAGAAATTTAAGTCGACACAATAGACGGACAGGAGTTCTTTAGGAAAAGAACTTTGCCCCCATACTAAGCAGAGTTCATTCACCAGGCTGAATGATCTGGGTATTAAATACCCTACACACACATGTTCTCCTGGCAGCCCCTCATCTGCCACCCTGCTGAAGAGGCACCGACTGACACGTTTTTCCCTCAACTGCAGAGGACAGCACTCAGAGCACAGCAAACCCAGCCTGTGTACCGGGAGAAAGGCCTCATTTCCAGAGAAAACCGAACTACACCATTCTTCTATCAATATACCCAGGCCTCTAACACACACCCCAAAACAAAGGTCAGAGGTGGCTCTGGACACAACTGGGAAATGGGGAGGGGCAGGTGGAGCTTGTTAGTAGACAAGTGAGCCTGTGAGATTACGGAAAGACCACTGCAGCAGCAGGCAAGTCAGCTCAGTTCCTGACGTTATTCTTCCGGCGTCCTGCCTGGGGCTGGCAGGGGTGTGCAACAGATTGGCAGATGGAGGCCATCATGAACAATCCAGAACTTTTAAAGGAATGAGCAAGACTGGAATTTCATGTCCCTCTCCTGGAGCAAAACCTAGAAAGTGTGTGCGGTCTGGGATCAAGAAGTGGGGCACATGTTTCCCACCAGGACAGGCCTCAGAGGCATGTTCCGGGAGTCACTGCAGGTCCCCTTGGAGCCTGGATAGGATGCTGAGGGAAATGAGAGTCAGGCCGCCTCAACGTCCCGAGCACAGTGGGGGAACCACAAGCAGCAGCACGTTAGCTCAAGGCCAGACGGCTTGCGTGCGTGATGCCCGGCACATACTGGGAGGCCAGGACACGTCAAGTGTGAAGGTAAGCAGAGGACCCAGAAGCCAGACCTGGAATCCCCACAAGCTGTAGCTTAGCACCTGGGATCCTGGTTAAAAATGTAAGAGCCTGGGCTGCATCTCAGGGCTGAAGAATTGGTCCCTGGGGTGAGGCCAGGGAACCCATGTCTAATCAGCATCCTGTATGACTGCACCCTGGCTCTGATGAGCGGTGGGGAGGGCCTGGGGGAAGGCAGGGGAAGCAGGGGGGAGCAAGAAGCATGTTAAGAAGCCTGTGATTCTCACAGATCCATGACTGTGCCCACAGGTCCTCTGATCAGCTTTTCCTGAAAGTGTTTGTGCCTGTCCTCAAAGGCTCCTTGAAGGGGAGAGGTCACTGTGTGGAGGTGAGGTTCCTAATAATTCCATTTTGAGAGAGGAGGAGGGGGAAGAGGGAGGGAAACAGACACCAAAAGGAAAATACACAGGGAAACAAAGACCAAGACCATTATAGAAAGAAACGACACCAGAGGCAGAGGGATGAATGCAGGCAGACAAGCATGGAGCTAGAAGCAGGCAAACTGCTGTCGATACGTCGGCACTCTCAACCATGGCTCGGGGTTCCCTCTTTGGACTTCTCTTAGAGCTCACGTAGCTCCGTCTCTTGTGCCCTTCACTTTCCTACTACTGTATATCCCCGGAGGATTCTGCCCTCTAGGAATTCCATATTGCAGTCTTGGAAGCTGCAGAGGAGTAGAGGGGATTCCGGCTGTGTTAACTCACTGCTTTAGACCTTTGAAATGTGAGGTCGAAGGCAGTAACGGGAGATCTTCTGAGAGGGAGAAGCCCACAGCTCGACTGCAGCTAGCAACCTGGGGCTTCTAGTCCCAGTGCTTCCACTCAATAATGTCAGGTGAGCCTCAGTTTCCTCATCTGTAAAATGGGATTACTCTTAGGGTTACTAGAATACTTACATGGTGAAGAATACTGTAGCACATAATGGTAGCTTTTATATGCCATGTGTCTTAGAGGTCCCTAAAAGAATCACCAGTCCTAGTTTTAGGAGATGAAATATTTTATAGTAGGGAAGAGCCTCAATTCACGTCTGGTCCAACTTCCTGCCTTTGGACTGTGTAGGTGTTCAATGGAATTATCCTATTTTTTTCCCTATGAAGTAACTGAAGCCTGTATTAGTCAAAGATTGGTTCAAGGTCAGCAGGTCGGAAGGTGTCTTTTTTGGCTGATCAAGGTGTAAGGCTGTCTGTCATATGTCTCTTTTTTTCTCCAGCTGCTGGCGTGAGGATGATGAGTAGCTAAAAACTTCCCAGGGGGCAGTTACAAGGTCTGGGAGCAAATGAGTGATTCAGAGACAGGCATGAAAGTGAGCACATGCACCCGGAGGCCCATGGGACCTGCCCAGGCCACCTAGCAATTTACTCCACCTAACACTGACAGCATGAGGGCACAGCGATACAGGCCTTGTCCTCCAAGTACACGGTCCTGGGAAAATTAGGGCAGAGAATCATGGTCCTCAAGGAAACTTCTAGGAAGTGTTTTCAAGGGCCGCAGGACACCAGCCATCTAAGCTCTGTTTCTCTCTTCCTTCGCCCATTTACACGGTGATAGGTCAGGGCTAACCAGCCATTACTGCCAGTAGAGCATGGAGAAAAAGAAGTGGATACACAGGTGAGCAGCTCTGATCACATGCTTGGTGGGAAGAGATTCCCACAAGTGACCAGGGAAGGGATGATTTGAAGCCATGGGGGCCAGGCAGAGGTTGGTCAACTTGATCTACCTGGCAACATAGCACGTGCAGATGGAGCTGACTTAAGTGCTAGGATGCTGCTGCAAGCTGCGTGCCTTAGGGCTCAAAGCGGTCCTGATGCAGGGAAACCGTGTGTAGGCACCTAGGATTCCCACACTGCTTCAACTGTGGCACAAACGTTTTTCTGCTTTAAAAGCTGGGCTTCCTTTTTTTTTTTTGTCTTTTTTGAGACAGGGTCTCCCTACGCAGCTCAGGCTGCCTTGAGCTCACTTTGTAGCCCATGCTGGTCTTGAACTCGCAATGATCCTCCTGCCTTAGCCTCCCAAGTGCTGGGATTACAGGTGTGCATCACCACACCTGGCAAAAGCTTATTTTATTTACTTATTTATTTTGTCTTTTTGAGACAGAGCCTCGTTAATGCAGTTCAGGCTGCCTTGAGCTCACTTTGTAGTCCAGGCTGGTCTTGAACTCACAACGATCCTCCTGCCTCAGCATCCCAAGTACTGGGATTACAGGTGTGCACCACCTCACCCTTCCTTTTTGGATATTGCTGGAAAAAGGAATTCCCTTGCTCATCCCACCCACAAACACACACATGCTAGCTTTAGAAGAAAACACAGAGGAAAACACTTCCAGGTACTGGGATAAGCAATAATTTTTTGGATATGACCCCCAAAAGCACACACAACAAAGCAAAACCACATAAATGGGATTGTATCAAACCAAGAAGCTTATGAACATCGAAGGAAACAACAGTGAACGAACAACCTTCAGGATGGGAGAAAATATTTGCAAACCATCTATCCAGTAAGAGATTAATACTTGAATATGTAAAGAGCTCAAATAACTCAACAAATAAAACCAATCTGATGACAACAAGCAAATGATCTGAATAGAAATTTCTCCAAAGGAGATATACAGATGAGCAGGTTATAGTGACATATACTTATACTCATAGCCCTTAGGAGCGGGTAAGGCAGGAGGATTGGGAGTTTGAGGATAGTCTGAGCTACACAATGAGTTTAAGTCCAGCCTCAATATGTAGTGAGGCTTTGTCTCAACAATAACACAAAAGTATACGAATGGTCAACAAGTGTATGAAAGTGTTCAATATCAGTAATCATTAGAAAAATGTCAATCAATGCCACACAGCCCCATGAGATATTATTTCATAGGTTAGAATGGCTATCTTCAAGGAAGACAAAAACACTGCACAGTGGTGATGATGCAGAGAAAGGGGAACTCTTGTACACCACTGGTGGGAATGGAAATTAGTACAGACATTATGGAAAAGAGTATGGAGGTTCTTTAAAAACTTAAAAATAGAACTCCTGTATGATATGATCCAGCACCCCCCCACATATATGTGTGTATGTGTGTGTCTCCAAAGAATATAAATCATTTCACCAAAAAGATACCTGCATTCCCCTATGTAATGCAGCACTACTTACAAAAGCTGAGCTGTTGAGCCAGCTAAGATGTCTATGATAGAGGAGTAGATAAAAAAAATGTGTTATGTATACACAATCAAAGAGTATTCAGCCATGAAAAAGAACGAAATTCTGTCACTTGGGACAAGAGGGACAGGCCTGGAGGACATCACGTCTTCTCTACTGACACAGACCCCGTTGACCTGTGAGATCTCATAGAAGCTGGGAGTAGAATGCTGGTCACTAGGGGCAGGGAAGTGTTGTGGGGGATGGTGGATAGAGAAGGAGGGACGTCAGCTAACAGGTCCCAAAACATACAGGGGAAGAATCAGTTTTAGACTTCTATATCACAGTAGGATGACTGTAGTTGCTATAGCTTGTGTCTAGATATCCCCCCAAAGCTTTGTGTTGTCACAGGTGGGGCTTTTTCAGAGATGGCTGGATCTAGAGTGTGTGATGCTGCAATGATTCATGGTGCAGTGCTAAGCTCAAGGGCATTGGGATTAAGGAGGTGAGTGCTCCCCACCGTGAGTAGCCTGGATGAGATAAAAAGGCTAGAAAGAGCTGTAGTCCTCCCTTGTTGCTTTGCTATCTTCTGCCCGCCATGAACTATTGCCCCTCTGCCATGCCACCCTGCCTCGGAGCCAACCAATGATGGATTGAAACCTCTATAAACTGTGAGCTAAAAAAACCTTTCCTTCCTTAACTTGTGGGTGTAGGTTATTTTGTCTCATCAATGAGAAAAGTAACTAAGACAGTAGTCTATAAGAACTCACATATTTCAAAATAATAAGAGCTGGAAGATTCCCAATACAGTAATGATAACTGTTTGGGACAATGGAAATATCAATTTTCCTGACTTGCTCATTACACAATGTCTGCATACACAGATTTATCCCACCGTACCCCATAAATATGTACAAATACTATGTGTCAATTAAAGAAAATCACTAGGCTCAACTCTAAGCTCTTTAAGAGCAGGATGTTGCTCAGTAAAATTTGCTGCCCAAAAGTGAAAATAACCAAATAGATATCAGGAAGCAAGGATCATATCTTCATTTCTGAATCTTTCAAATTGTCAGGCACATGAAACATGTACAATAAAACCTTTCTTAAAGAAATAAATAAGCGGGGCCGGGGATATAGCTCAGTGGCATAAGTGCTTGCCTGGCAAGCCTGAGGTCATGAGTTCGATTCCTGGAACCCAAAAAAGAAAGAAGAAAAAAAAAGACAAGAAATAAATAAGTGACTGGTTGATGGACAGAATAAATGAATGAAGGAATGTGAAACCAAGGACTGTAGGTCCGCCTGCAGTCAGTGTTAATCTACGTAATGTAGGTGGGGAGGTTAGCAGTGATACTAAAGCAAATGCATACAAAGTCTGGTATCAGGTCTTACCAGAGAACATAAACTTGGACTTTCAGGTTGTATAAAACTCACAGAGGAGGCTGAATCACAGTATTTCTTTTAAAAAATCAGATTAGTTGCTAATATTTATTTATTCATTTTTTTGCCTTTTTGGGACAGGGTTTCATCATATAGTTCAGGCTAGTCTTGAACTCTCTTTGTAGTCCAGGCTGGCCTTGAACTCACAATGATCCTCCTGCCTCAGCCTCCCAAGTGCTGGGATTACAGGCATGTGCCACCACGCCTGGCTTGCTAATATTTAAAAATTAAAAATCAAAATAATTAATGCTTTGAAATTAGACTGAAGATATAGCTCAGCGGTACGGTGCTTGTCTACCACGTATGAAGCTGAGTTTGATCCCCAGCACAGCAAAAACAAACAAACCAATACCACCTCCAATACACAGCTCTCCACTAGCCCAGGCCTGCACTCCCATTTGCCAAGGCAGGCAGATGGCACCTACTGTAGACAAGTGGGCTGTGTGTACTCCATTCTGACAATGGAGAATGTCAATGGTCTCTTTGGCCCTTACTAGGGTACCAGTTTGCTACCCCATCCACTCTAGTGGTCTTCAAACTGTACGCTATGGGCTGTTACAATCAAATCAGTAGGTCATGAACAGCAGGCTGTATAAAAAAATACATTCATCCCTTTGTGTCCTGGAAGACCAGTTCCTAATATCCCTACACGATACCCTCGGCCCACTTTCACAGAAGTAAAATCCAAGGACACTCAAATTCCTTATACAAATGGTGTAGTATTTCCATATAATGTACACACATTTGTCCATACAATCTTTAGATACAATGTAAATATTATACAAATTATTATATTGTCTCGTGTATTTCTATTTTTAGTTGTATTATTTTTATTTTGTTTGTTTGTCTTTTTGTTTTTCTTCTGGTACCAGGAATTGAACTCATGACCTTGTGCTTGCCAGGCAGGTGCTTTGCTGCTGAGCTAAATCCCCAGCCCCAAGTTGTATTATTTTTAAACCTTTCTCCTCAAACATGTTCAAACTGCAGCTGCTGCTGACCCCAAGGGTGTGGAACCCGAGGATACTGAGTGCCCACTGTCCAACAAACGAGAGAAAACACCCGAGGACATGGAAAGCTTATGCACTACTGCGTGAAACTTGTGTATCTGAGGTCACAACATAGAATATGAGTCAGGGTCAGTGTCCTAAACAACTGCCCTAAATGATACAGAATTTCAGGTTTACTTAGTGACAATCAGGGAAACCTACACCTAGGGAGACTTTTCTGTGACACAATCCTGTGTGAAGCACTGGATCAGCTGGTGCCCAGGATGGGAAATCGCCTTCCTTTGCCATGCTCTTGTAGAGGGCTGTTGAGAGGTCCACATGGAGCGTGCTAACAGTGCAGCTCAGTCCCCAGCACCCAGAGGACAGTCCCACATGTCTCCTCTCCCTCCCTGACCCAGGGACACACCTGTCCCAAGCTTCTGGTGCCAGACCCACCTCTCTGTCAGCGCCTTGCTCTGGGTGTCCCGGGCTGCCTGCAGGTCTTTCTCCAGCCGCTTCCGGGCCATCTCCAGCTGCTCCACCTCCCCCTGTGTCCACTTCCGGGGGCTGATGAAGCGCATCTCCTTCAGCAGCTCCTCCTTCTCGTTAATGAGGATCAACCGGTCCCTCTCCGAGTCTAACACCCCAGGCCAGGCCTCACTGTCCAGCTTGGCCAGCTGGATCTTCAGGTTGGCAATCCTGGGGGCCAAGAAGGTAAGCATGATAGATGCAAGCCATGGCCAGGAGGGAACAGGGATAAGACTGTGTTTCTAAGACTCCAGGACACCAGGAGCCAGGACATCCTCAGAGCAGACCTGGACAGTTACCATCTTCCTTCGGATCAACAAGTTGTTTCTTGGACACAATTTGTTGGGGGGCAGTACTAAGTATTGAACCCAGGGCCTCACACATGCTAGGCAGAGGCTCTGCCCTTGAGCTATATCCCTAGACTTTTTCATTTTTCTTTGAGACAGGTCTTACTAGCTTTCCAGGCTGGTCTCCAGCTCATAATCTTCCTGCCTCAGCCTCCCAAGTGCTGAGATTACAGGCATGTACCACTATGCCCAGCTAGGGGAACATATTTTTATCTAATACACATGTACGGATGGCTTCCGTGGGCCAGCAATGAAGCTGGCTCTGCAGCAATGGGGTAGAGACATAAATGGGTCACACCCTAAGCCTGGTACAATAGAGATGAGGCTGTAATACCAGTCAGTAACCTCCTACCACCAGCTGTGTGCCCCAGGGTGAGCTGCTCATCTCTCTGCAAGGAATAATGAAGGCTTCTTCCTCCTAAGGTTGCGGTTGATGGATTTACGACATAACCTATAAACCTTCAAAGCACCGTATTTGGCACACAGTCAGCCCTCAATAAATGCTTCTGTTGCTCATGTAGTTATTATCTGGCCGGACCACTTACTAGTTATGTAACATTGGGCAAACTCCCTGGGTCTTGAAGATAAGAAAAATAATTACTCATCCTTCAGCGGCTGTGAAAATCAGCAATGAAGTATGTAGAATCATGACACGTAGCAGGTACTGAGTCAGGGGCATTTGCAAATCGGTAGGACTTTAAGGACAAACCTTCCATCCTCAGTTGCGATAGTGGTGGTGGCAACAAGGGAAGGGCAATGGGTTTGGGATTCAGAGGTCTGGAACTGGAGTCCTGGCTTCACCTTCACGACAAAAGGAACTATTTCTCTGAAAATCATTTTGGGGGCTAACAGTGTGGCTCAGTGGTAGATCTTTGCATGTGCAAGGCCCTGTGCTCAATCCCCAGCAGCAACAACAAAAAAATCATTTTGGTCACAAGCAACTAGCACAGGGTCTGGTATACTGCAGGCACTTAATAGGAGTTAAGGGGCAGAGTCAGCAACGCTGTAGCCTAACCTCTCTAAGACTCAGTAGCCCCATCTTTAAGGTGGGGAGAAAGACAGTACTTACAAGGTAGGTTAGCAGAGAACCGAAAAGAAAAGTAACGTGAAGAGCACTTTATATATAGCCAGCTGCATAGATATTAAATGTTATTATCACTGGACTAAGATTCCCACTATTATTAAGAGTACTGCTACAAACATGTAACAGCAATCCTGCCATGATCTTTTAAGACTTGGTCTCTACAAAGCGTTTTCAGCTCTCAGAGGCTAGCTTTACTCTGTCCCTAAAGGACGGGCAGGAAAGGAGTTGTTAACCCTGTGGGACAGATGCCCTATGGCTCACATAAAACTGCAAACCATAAACACAGCCAGTACTTGTTGAGAGCCCAGACCTATGGACTTGCAGCTTGATCTTACCTATAGCCAGCAGGGCCAAACTCTTAGTCTACCAATGGAGTGGCACAAGACTCCTGGTGCTGTAAAGCAGAAGTTCCACATAGAAAAGCACATCTGAGTTTCTTCCTTCCCCACACAAGCATCCCAGCACCATGTCTTAATTATTTCATATCCATGTGTACAGCAATTCATGAAGATTAGCTTTGGGACAACTTTTCAGCTGCTCATTCCCAGCACCGTGAGCCTAGAGCAGTACAGAAAGGTGTGGCAGGGGCTGAATCATAAGGAGCATACTGAGAGTGACTGATATTTTCTTGGGTGCACTTTCTAGGGTGCTCCATTATGCCAGTGCTCTTCAACTTTAGCTCATCCATCCTTTGGAGAATGTGATGAAAATGACCATTCTCCTTCCGGAGAAACGTGCATGTGGTCAAGCCCAGCACGCAATGATCAGGTGTTCCATGCACGACAGCTACTACTCTTCCCTCCTTTGAATTCGGCAGCCTCTTATTTCCTAATCAGCAGGCTATCTGTCCTTTACACCAAATCTAGCTTCGGGGAGAAGAGGAGGCAAGAAGCTGGATGAAGTCAGATAAGCCAGGAAGCTCTGTGATGAAAACTTTAATGGCTCAGCCCCTGAGAGAGCATTTCAGTATCTCCAGGACTGATCGTGTAGGCTGGGCCTTACAGCAAACTGGAACAGATCCAAGGTTCGCAGGGATCCCCTCTAGAGGAGATGAGAAGTGGCTGTCCAATGTACATGTTCTGCTAATTTGCTGAACCCCTAGGGGGAGCTGGCATAGTGCACAGGACCTCTATTTATTTCTACCTATTGTCCAATCCCTGCTTTTTTAACAAAAAGCACCCCAATTTGTCTTTAGGGAACTACTCTTCCCAATTTTCAAGTCATATGGGTCCCACAATCTCTTTCCCAGCATGAACATATAAGCCATGCTTCGACCTTCAGAGACTTCTAAAGTCCTTACCTTTACCCTCTATCAGCCCTGCAACACCGATTGATTCATCCAAAAATGCTAGTGTCAGGCCCAGGCCTTATTAAAACTATTGGAGAAGGAAGTCCTCTTGTACTGGGGTTGCCAGCCTGGTAGTATGTAAGCTTACAGTTGCTCGGGGGGCATTATGCTACTTGAGAATAAAGCCAACACAAAGGCAAGTGTGGTAGAGAAAAGGAGAAATGGAATCTAGGTGATGTTTTTGGAGTTCTTGGATGCAGCTGAGCCTAAAGCCAGACACCCTAGGATTCTGGAGCTCAATAAGCCAATGAATTCCCTTGTTTGCCCCTTCCTCTGTTTTCTATCATATTTCTGTCATTACCACAAAGAGCCTGCTGCTGAAGGGGAGTTGGTAGAGTGGCAGGCTGGGCAATGCCATATTCTACCTAACCTAGGTAAAAAGGTTCATACATCAGGGAGGGACGGAACCAGTGCACCTAGATTCATTTGCCCACAATGCATGCCCCAAGTGGTTCTTTCCCAATAAGGCTGGTCCAGCATAAGCATACAACAAGATCCTGAACTTGGAGCTATAATGTCCAGAGTTCAAATTCTGACTTTACCACCCAGGAAAAAAAAAAAAAAAAAAAAAAAAAAAAAAAAAACCCCAAAACCAAACCAAACCAAAACAACAACAAAAAAACCCCAAACAAACAAACAAACAATTGTCCTGGGGATAACTTTTCTTCATTCTAACATGGAGATAATAACATAGGAGCTATGCTGTAAGTTTGCTTTTAAAATTAAATAAGATAGGTGTACAAATGTTTTAGTACAATAAACAATCTGTGTATGTCTATTAGCAGATGCTGTAAAAGTGCCAGCATTATCACTTTAATTTGGGGCAGAGGAGCCCAACTGCTTAGCGGTCTATAAAACCTCAGAGCAGCTCCGTTTCTGGAGTCTATAATGTTGGAAAACACAGCTTGCTCCTGGTTATGCAGGAGACAGGGAAGTGAGAAGTGTCTATAGTCTTTTTAGCCTGTTGCTGAAACTAACCAAACAAACCTGTTGCTCCTTCAAATCAAATCCCTCCTCAATCATCAGCAAGTGATTACAGAAAGCAAGACAGGAAGGGAGAAAAATAACTAGGCTTTGGGATTACACAGATTTGGGTTCAAAGCACAGTTCCACTCTATGTACTACAGTGCCCTAGGCAAGTCATTTCCTCTCTAAATTCTAGAGAGGACTGAAATATAAAGATTTTTAATACCAACCCTCATAATCTTTGGGAGGATTAAAGAAAATGAGGAAGGCAAAAAGCCAAGGCCAGAGCACATCCCCTACCACAGCAGGTAGGGTTGTTAGAACCACCCCTCCCCCAGCCACAGCCTCTAATTACCTTCTCTTAGCTTCTTCGTATCGAAGGCGCAATCTGACCTTCTCTGCCAACTGATTGTTGCTGCTGGTGCCAAACTAAAGGACAAGAACAAAGGCAGGAATTATATAGCTACTGTGGTTGGTGCTAAGTTAGGTTTCAAGAGCTCACAAGACACTTGACAGCTTGCATGGGCAGAATCAGGAACAGCCCACAGTGATAGACTGCCTGTATGAAGGGAAGCTGGTTAAGCAAAAAGTCTTTCCTTCCTTCAGGCCACGGGTATGATCTCCACACTTGATCTTAGCCAAAAGGCTCAGACTCCAGCATCTATCACTTTGACAAGAGAAGCAAGGGCTCAGAATATCACTTCACCACCCCAAATGGCTCAACACCAAGGCAGGCCACAGAAGCACAGACAGCAGGTAGGAAGGAAAGAAGGGCAGCGAATATGCAAGGAAGCCATTCTGGGGGTGCTAGGCAGGGGTGAGAAGAAAATTCAGTCAGGCCGCAGTCAGGAGTGGAATGCGAGGTAAGCCTGGGAAGGTCCTTGAGTTCAGAAAGAGGCACACAGTTCCTTCATAAATACTACAGGTGGCTCGCGGCTAGACGTATGGGCGGTACGCGGAAGGACGGGACAGTCACTTCCTGCACTAGTCTTTCCCAAGCTGGAAGAAGCTCCACAGCTCACTAGATCACATGGACATAGCTTCTCATCACAAGTGGGAAGACAGCTATACAAATCAGATAAGAAAGCATTTAGCTACAAGGGCTGGCAGGCAGATTCGCTTAATATCACATGTTCTATTAAAACAAAAGTGCTCCAGAAGTTATGGATTGCTTGGTTGGTCCTCTGATGTTTTTATGACCTATCTCTGGACAGCATTTGCACTACCCACAGTGGGGACCAGACAGAGCTTTGGTACTGGGCATTATGCAGCTATGAAAACTGCATGAATTGTTTTGGGGCTAACATGAGAAAAATATCCTCTGCTTTCCAGCTGGTAAAAGAAAAACCCAATGATGGTGCCTGCTAGTATAAAAAATGAGAAAGATACTCTGTCCTGGTGGCAGTATAAGGAGTACTGCCATGCAATACTTGGGGCTGTGTAGTCTCCCAGGCTGGCTCTTCCTCATCCTATCTCTTTCATATCCTAGCTCCTGGGGCCAGGAGGGCTAAGACAAACAAGGAGGTGCTTCAGAGGGCAGAGTTGAGAACTGGGACATCAACAGCCACAGGGCAGCTCCGCAGCAGAGCAAGGAGAAGGCATCACCATTCCTTGGGAGGCGCTAAGCACACTGCATACTCACACTTCCTGAGATGTCTGTCTGGGAGCTCACATCCAGGTATTGCTTCGGCAGCGGAAAGCCTGAGCTCTCCAGAGAGCTGCTGCTGGACCACAGGTCGGAGTGAGACCCTCTGTCGGTGCGGAAGCCATCCTTCAGCAAGGCAAGGCTCTGGAGCGAGGGGAGGGAGACCGGGTGCAGGTTAGTGAGGCACCTTCTGGGAAGATGCTCTCGGTCTGCCCCACTTGTGTGCTTTCCTCTCCACCTCTCTAATTTAGGCCTCTATCCCACTGAGACATCCTATTGGTGTGGAGACAGGGGGCTATCAGTGAGTGGGAACTTGGTCTGCAGGGTCCCTTACCGGGGAGAAACTGACTCTGGAACCCCTGCTCTGCTACTGCCTAGCTGTGTGAGATGAACTGGCTGATTAGTCTCTGTAAGCCTCAACTTCTTCTACAAAATGGGAATGATCACAAGTCCTGTCTCACTGAGCTATTACACAGATTGAGACTAACAGTGGAAAGTGCTAGTATAGCCAAAGCTCAGTAACTGTCACTTTTATCACAGTTATACTGGATCACGACAGTAGACTTTTGGGGAATGACCTATGATGATCCTCATTTTATCAGTGAGAAGACTGGGATCCGACTCTGCCCACTTAATCCTAAACCTAACAGGAACATTCCTTCCTGCCCATGAGCACTTTGAATGTTTTCTCTGGGAGGCTTTCCTGGGCACAATCTTCAAACTAGTTTTGTTTGACAAAGAGTATCAAGTTTCTTTCACCAAATTCCCGACAGCACCTCTGAGTATTGTACTCCTCATCTGCCAAGGGGAACTAGGATGAAATATCTCAAGGTCACAGTGGCTCCTACATGGGAGGTGGAATGTCCACAGGAATAGTGAACAGGCTTGAAGCATGGCTCAACTACTCTGAGTTCTAGAATGGAGATAAATTAGAGTTTATGTAGCCAATGCATGCAAGTACTTGGCATAAGTGCCTTGCAAGGTAAAGAACAGCTGTTCTCACTTGTTCAGTTCCTACCACAAAGAACAAGAGAACTGGACATAGATACATTTTGATGTTCACATTAACAATGCTGAAACCATGTTTTCCCATTTGGTGCACTGAAAAATAAACCAGGAGACTAGAACTAGTGGCCTTTAGGGGACGCCAGATGGGGACGCCAAATGGCTTTTCAGTCCATGTTCACCTTTGACTCTAGGTACGTGGCCTTAAGGAAGTCACTTAGTGCTTCTGAACTTCTACCTCTCCTCGATAAAATGGGACCAAATCCCAAGAAGACTAGTATAGGCTGAACAGCCCTTATCCAGAATGCTGGAGATCAGAAGTATTTCAGATTTTGGATTTTGGAATATTTGCATATATCTAACCAGATATCTTGGGAACAGGACCTAAGGCCAAACATGTATTTATGTTTTATGTACAGCTGATCCACATAGCCATGGTAACTTCATGATATTTTTGGTGCAACTGTGTTTTGACTGTGACTCACCATTTGAGGTCAGGTGTGGTATTCTCTACTTGTGGCATCACACTGGCAACTGCCAAGTTTCAGACTTTAGAGCATTTCAGAAGTAGGACTTTTGGGTTAGGGATGCTCAACCTATAGTGAGGACTCTATGATCAATATAGCAGGTGGAAACAGCTGGTGTGAATCCCGGTACCCATGGGTATCTAGGATAAACTGATGGGTTCAGGGGGACCCACATCTCAGGAACTCACGCACCTTAATAAGATCTTGTTTTTCTTTTTCTCCACAGGTGATGGCCTTCTTGATGGCTTTTGTTTCTCTCAAGACTGCCTGAGCTTCATCCAGTTTGTAGCTGCCCTGGGCATCAGACATTTTCTTATCGATCCTAGGAGACAATCAGTTGGGACGGTCACACCTAGGAGTGACAAGATTTCCCCAGGGAAAAAGCACAGGCCACAGAGTTTCAGTTCTTCAAGAAGTCTCCTCTGTCTCCTGCGTACTCCTCCTCTTGTAGGACTGCAGAAGGTCCTTATTAAATTGCAAAGGCCTCATGGTATGTGGCTGCAGCAGATACACTCTGCTTCTAAGTTCAAATGTCCTCTAAGCATAGCTCTTACAGGAAGCCTTCCTTGATTTCCTCATTGCATCTTCCAGGCTGGGCAGGTGATTCCCACAATAAGTCACACATAATTGTGACACTGCACTTGTTCCCTCATGTGATGACTTATGGTTTACACAGCAGTAGCCCTGACTTGATGCTGGTAGACTTGGAAACAGAGCTGAACATGTTTGAATACTTCTAGTATCTAACACAGAAGAGTTCGCTAACCTGGGTATCTCAATCTCTGCAAGCTTGATATTTGGGGCTAGATAATCGTATGTTAGGCGGGTGGGGCAGGCAGTCCCCTTCTCATTGTAGAATGTCTAAAAGGATCCCTGCCCTAAACCCATGAGATGCTAATTACACAACCTGGACATGGGACTCCCTAAAATGTCTCCATTTATTTCAGTGTCCTTGGGGAGAGAGGATCAAAATCTCCCCTAGTCAAGAACCCCTGTCTTATAGTAGGCATGAATTCAAGTAACAGATACAATGAAGGAACTGTCAGAAGGATAAAAGTTCCCTGCCTTAGTACTGCCTATTAGTAGAGAGACCTTGGGCCTGGCTTTCAACCACACAAGGCCTCAATTTCCTCCTCTAAAAGAAAAAAATCCCCTATCAGATCATCTGCCCAGTCCACATTCATGGAGTTGTTACAAGCATCAACTCGGATAAAGGATGGAAAAATCCTGTGACGATCTAAGGAGTTCTGTACCAATGTGAGGGATTAAAACACTTCTATCCCAGGAAAGCTTACTGGCTTATCCAGGCCCTACATGCAGCTTCATTCTGACGGGGAAACGTGTTAAAAAAGAAAAAATACAAGGCCGTGGGTCTTCTCTCTTTAAAGATTTTTGTGCTGCTAGGGATCAAGCCTACGGCCTTGCACTTGTGAGACAACCGTCCACCACTGAGCTATATAACCAAAGGGCCTTGATACATTTCTTTGAAGCTCAGGCCATATTAGAGATGATTTTGTGTGTGTGTGTGTGTGTGTGTGTGTGTGTGGTGGGGATCCTGAGCTGTGCAGAAGGAGGGCTGGGGTGCAGAGAAGATTCTGAAGGCAGACAGGCTTTTAACTGCTTCACATATTCATCAAAGGCTGGGACAGAAGTTTCAGGGGAGGGTGGAGAAAAGGAAGCTTGACAGTTGGAGGGAACAGCACAGACCCATTATTTCAGGATGAGAAACCCTCACAGACAGGCCTCTCTGGTTTCCTGCTCCAGGCCAAGCTATCCAGGGCTAAAAATAGCCTGAGCAGGGGGAATTGCTGCTCTGGGCAGGTTTTCATCCTGCTCTCCTGGGCGGCACTGCCTCCTAAGCCAGCAGAGGAGCTAGGGAGGCAGGGACCGTGGAATCCACACAACCTCCCCCTGCAGTGATTCCAGCCTCCGTGGAGAGAAAACAAAGCCCCAGTTATGTCTCCCCACTAAAAATAGCCTGTCTCTTCCCTTTCGAGGACTTGGCCTGGCGAGCCTGCCAGGTTGGCTAATGCTGGTCTCAAATTAGTCTGAAAAATTCCCCTAAGGAAGAGTTCCCCAGCCACCATGCTGAAGACACTCCATGGAAAAGTCCCCAGAGCCAGTGAGCAAGCAACTGCGATGGGAGGTGACTCTGCCCCAGACTGGCAGCGGTGGCAGGTGCAGGGGAGAGCTGTTCGCCTGACCATGACCGAGGGTGGGGGCTCTGGGGCAGGGGCTGTGCCCGGCTGTTCTCTGCCAACAGGGTAAGAATGGCCCTGAATCCCCAGCAGGATGGGACAGAAGGGGTTTGTCTGCTGGTTGCAAAGCGCCTCTACCTGACTCCTTCAAGGCCTTAGCAACCCAGGCTCTGGAATTTGGCTGCAGAAAGTAGCTGTGAGGGGGAACGCTCTGGGGATGGAGCTGGGGTGGGGAAGGAACAAAGGGTCGCCATTATGTACTCAGTGAATGAATCTTTTTTTTTTTTTTTTGTAAAGAGAAAGAAAAGTTGTGTGTGTGTGTGTTGTGTGTAGAGCATATATTTTAGAATTTCTAAATTTTACAGCTATTCTTTCTCTGAGGTTTTTCAAGATTCATATGCCCAAAAATCACAGAGAAGCTGGCAAAGGCAGCTGAGTTTTCCTGGCCTAGTTCAGACATCTCTTACCTGGGCACGGCAGCTTTTGTTATATGAAGACAGATCCTCCCTGCCCTGCCCTCCTACCCCCAAAGCAATATGCCTCGTCCCAACTCTTTCCTATTCACAGGGGATCAAAGGGCACACAAGCCAAAGCCCTAAGCTTTTATTTCAATTTTTCTTTCTCTTTCTCATCTAAGAGGTTTCCTTCAAACCTCATCAAACTCTCTCTTTCCTTTTTAAAATTGGTGTTGCTAACTATGAATCGGACAAAGGAATCTGCAGCACAGAGTAACTGCTCAGCAAACCTTGGCTGTGTAATCACCATCGTGAAAGCAACACACAAGGCTCTGAAGAGACAAGAGAACTGTGTCTCACTAGGCTGCCCGGCACCTGCTGCGAGGGAAAATGACGTGGGGTCAAAGCCATCCTGGAAAGTCCCTCAGGTATTCCTTAGGGATCAGTTTCACCTTCTGTGCCGTACACATCTAGATTAAAAACAAAAAAGATTCCCAGGGAAAATGCAAAGGGGTCTTACCTTTACTGCATATGGGGAGGGGTTATCTTGAGTGACAGTAGGAAAGGAGCTATTGGGCCATGAGCTTCAAAATCCAATAGTACTCTTAATACTACCAAAAAAAAAAAAAAAGTGGGGTAGGAGTGTGGCTAGTGGTAGAGTGTGTTTAGCAGGAGCAAGCCCTGGTTTCAATCCTCAGTACAAAAAAGGAGGGACAGGAGAGAGAGAGAGGGAGAGGAAGGGGTAAAAGAAAGAAAAAAGGAAGGAAAAGAAAAGTCCAATAGTCCTGGGTTCCAGTCCCAGCTTGACTCTTGCCAGCTGGGTAGGTTTGAGCATATTTTCATCCCTGGCAGTGTCTTCATCTATAAAATGTGGCAGAACAAAACCAGCTCTTACTGGGGTACAGAGAAGGAAATGAGGTGGGCTATGTAAATAAAGGACTCCCCCAGCACAGTGTGTAACCCAGGGAAGACACAGAATCTTAGAATCCACCTGTGTTCCCTTCCCAAGTCCAAAGAATCAACCTAAGTTCCCATCCCAAGTCTAAGAGGACAACTGGCTCGAGGTCACCACCTGACTCTCCTGACTGAGCTCTCCTAAAGCGCCAGGTTCTGTTGTTTCCAGGACAGGGATTTTCCAATTAAATCACCTCGACCACAGGTTTTCAGAGAAGCAGTCAAAGCTCAGAAGAGTTCTGCCAATTTTCCAAGGTCCCAGGGAACAGGGATTTGACCCCAGGCACTCTGCCCAAACCCTCTGCCAGGTATACATTAAAGCACACACCCAGCCAGGCTTCCAGCTAAGACGTATGGGCAGCCAGAGCAGCAAAGGAGTCTTATCTGTGCTAGGTATCAAACCAGGGGTGACAAGGGGGAAAGAGAGGCTTGTCTCTGGGGTTTGGCATCAGCTTACCAAACAACAAGGATTTTCAATGCTGCTACAGGGTGACAAAGTGGTAAAACAGGTTTGTGGGGCCCTGGAGAATAAAGGGAAGTGTTCTCACCAGAAGCCTAGGGGATTGCAGGAGCAGAGGAGGGGGAGGAGCAGACCTTCAACTATGCACTCAGAAGCTGCTTGGCTGCGAAGTGCAGGACAGAGGTGAGTGCTTTAATAGGTCAAAAATAGGAATTTTCTAAGCTTCTGCTATTATTGCACTGGATCATCCCTAGTGGTATTGAAGGTCACCATGAAGTATGCAGCATAAGCCCTGGCCGTAACCAGGTGAGAATCTAGTCTGAGGGACAGGAAGAATATATGTGCATCTAACACACATGTAAATACATATATATAATAATTTATAATGCTTTAATCATGAAAACATCATATGCAGTTTATAATAAATACAAGGTCATACTTATAAACTTTCTTTTTTTCTTTTTCTTTTCCCAGTGCTGGAGATCACATCTAGCTTCTCTTGTATGCTAGGCAAGCACTCACCCCTGAGCTATATTCCCAGGATTTTGCTGGGGTCATGGAAGCTCCTCAGTGGCAGGAGCTTGCGGGGTGGAAGGATGGAAAGAACCAGCCTATCAAATGGAAGTCACAGCTCAGTCAACAGGACTTACGGACATCCCAGAGTTGGAGCGGTAGCCGATGAGCGACAGGGGTAGATCTGGGGCTCAGTGGATGAGGAAAAGGCATGGTTAGGGACAGAGAAGCAGCAGTGGCTACAGAAATAGCTGTCCACACAGGTGCAGCCTCCTTGGGGCACTAAGCGAAATCTCCTAGGCGGGGGAAACCTTCTGGGTGCCTGGCCCGGTGCTACCAGGCTACCAGGTGACCTTGGAAATGCTCATCCAATGGGCCACCAGAGCCACTGAACACATGCATTGAGTAAGTCTCGGTTATATACTGTGGTTCATAGCAGCAGTAGACTAACGTTTACTGAAGACTCGCTGCACGAGCTCAGGTTCCTCATCTACATAATAGGGTTAGCTAGAAGAACACTGCTTACCGGGGTGCTGTGAGGAGCAAATGAGCATACTCACAGAGGAACACCAAAGGCCTCGCTGCTCAGCAAACCTTAGCTAGTACAATCATGCTCCCGACAGTTAACACAACTGCTCTTAAGAGACAAACACGCTGCATGGCATATGGCTACAAGCCAGCCTCTAAAAGTGAAGATGACATCTGGTCAAAGTAATCCTGGCAACTCCTCAAATCACTCATAAAAGACTATGTACGAGGCCCTGTGCTGTTCCTTTGGTGGAGCACTAGGAGAAGTACTGGCTTGATTTCAGGGCCACGGAAACAAAGAGTTTTGTTTGTGTCCCTGTGAGACTCTACTGACCTGTGGGAGCAGACGGGTTGTGTGCACAGACACGACCAACAACACCCGCTTCAGTGACTGCAGAGTAAGACTCAGCTAAATGGAACAGACCTTAATGGCTTCAGGAGTTCAGAGGACAATGAGAGTCCTGTGGTCTAGAATGATTCTCCTCTCCTTCCCCAAACACCACCCTGGGGTGACGGACTCTTCATAAACGCCAGTAGAAAAGAACTTGAGTAGAATGATTAGATAGCCACATTTAGAAGTGAAAAAGGTGACTAAAGGAGAGAGACACGGAGACGGCAGTATAGGAGCTGACATGGGGACAGCTCTATGTGCTGCCTGGCAGGGTGGACTCACTTCTTCAGGGTCTGAAAGCCACGTTCTTTGAACTGGAGCTCATGCTGCAGGTGAACCATCTCTCTCTTCAGCTTATTGACCTGGAGGGCAGAAGAGCACATGGGATCAGAGGCGGACACGGAGCTGCAGGCCACGAAGGGGAACCCAAAGCAACCTGCTGGTTCTGCACGGTCACAACACCCTTCCCTCACTCACTGCTGTGGGTCTGAGTTCTGCACCTGCCTACTCAGGCAGCATCCCAGCCAGAACTCCTACAGGTCTCACCTAGCAGGTCCTTGCTCCAGGGAAATGGGAAGCAGAGGGAGCCAACCCACTTGAGACAGAGCTGGGCCATCCCACTTCTCGTCTCTCCAGAACTATCAGGGCCATTCTGAGCCTCCCTCTCCTGTTCGGATGGATGAGGACTGTGGCAATCCTGGGGGTGGGGGCATAGTATTTAAAGCAGAGAAAGAACACAAGGGTACTTTGCATGGAGGTAAAAAAACAACGGAGGCAACTTTAGAGACACGACATGCCCAAGAGCCGGACCCAGGCTGTAGGAAGGCTTGCTCGGTGGGCGAGTACTGTTACATTTTCAAAATAAGTCACTAATAATTAAATAGCGAAGATTTCACATAGTAAGCCTACTTATACACTTCCTTTTTAAAGATCTCTGAAGATCTGAGACCACATTCTGGCACAGGTAAAACAGACTAGTGCTGAAATTCCATTGCCCATTGAGACGGGGCACAGGTCTCTAGGTTAGCTTTCCCTGAGACTCTCCTTGCCTCACCCCAGCCCACTTACCCCATCTAGGGCTTCTTCCAGGCACCTGGGTTGTAGCAACTACTTCGAATTAAACTAAAGCAATGTTCCCAGTATTGTCTTTACCAAGAGCAAAGCATTTACCCGCTGTGCCTTAGTTTCCACGTGAGTAAAGTGAGCATTATAATACTTATCCCACAAGGTAATCAAGAATTAATTAAGATAATACAGGAAAAGCAGTAGCTAGGAAGTGAATACATTATGCTAAGAACTTGGGCAGAAGACTTGAGTCTCCTGTGACCTCAGGTAAGTTTCTCAGCTCCCCTAAGATTCTCTTTGCTCATTTTTAAAAATGAGCTACTCAATAGGGTTATTGCAAAGATGTGAGATGATACACATGAAGCAGCTACTGCAGTAGTATGCCCGGGACATGGTGATTGTGAGATGGCAGTTATTACTATAACTACAACTACCGCCACTGCCATTATGATTTTGGGCTTGCTGGCATTGGCCGCCAGGGCTGGGTGAGATTCTGCTCTGGCCTGCAGCTCGGCTGAGTGGGCTCACAGCTTGTGACCACATCCAGGACACTGGTGAAGAGGCTCACCCGGGATTTTGCAGTGGCAATTTCAGCTTTCAGAATCTCAGGATCATACTTCGAGCTGGAGGATGAGCCAGAAACCACTGTAATAAGGAAAAGAAAAAAAGAATTTTAGTAAAAGAAATACATTTCAACAAAGTTGACTGGGGAGGAGGAGTGTTTCCTTGAGGTCCAAAGTGATTTTCTTAAGGTCCAAAGGGAGATTTGGTAAATAAATATGGTACTTGCATAAAATGGGGACTGTGCAACATATCCAACTTAAAATGATGTATACCCAGGCGTGGTGGTGCACACTTATAATCCCAGTTCTCGGGAGGCTGAAGAAGGAGGATTGCCAAACGGTTCGAGGCCAGTCTGAATTACATAGCAAGACCCCACCTCCTAAAAAAAAAAGTAAAACGAGATACAGAAGTGGGGTGTGGTGGCACACACCTATAATCCCAGCACTCAGGAGATGGAGGGAGGGAGATTGCAAGTTTGAGGCCAGCCTGGGCTATACAGTAAGTTCAAGGCTAGCCGGAATTAGGGTGAAACCCTGTCCCCCCCCCCGAAAAAAAAAAAAAAAAACCAAGAAACTAAAAAAACTTTAAATGATGTATAGAAAACTACCAAATAAGGGAACATGTTCAAAACTTATTGGTATAATAAATCCAGCTTACAAAAAACATAATTTAAAATTGGAAAATATACACAGTTTACTAATAAATACACATTTGTCTTAAAAAGACCAGGCAATGGGATGCAGAGCATTTATTCAGCAATGTAAGAGGTCCTGGGTTCAATCCCCAGCACTAAAGAAATAATAAAGATAAAATAGATTGGAAAGAAGTGCACCAAAAAAATAAAACTGATACCTGGTAAGGTAGATGATGGATATTTTCACTTCTGTATTTTTTCCACATTGTCTAACATAAATATTTATTTTTATTATCAGAAAAATTACTAAACACTATCATTTTTCTTCTTTATATTAAAATACATTTGAAAAGGAAAATAAATTACCTCAAATCTCCCACCCTAATGCAATTTTTTTTTCCATAATTGCCTTCCAATGTTTTTCTACAGTTCCATCATGTTGTTGTAATACTTTTTATTTTTTAACACTTTTTAATTTTAAAGGCAACAATAAAAAAACAATAAAAACGATACAGAATTTCCAAACAAGATGATAGGAAATTAACAATGGTTATTATATTGCATATTGTTGTCTTCAAAGTAGTTGCTCAGATTACCAGATATAGGCATGTAAGATTGATCAAACAATATAAATACTAACTGTTGCTTTCAATGAACTAATTTTGTTGTTATAATTTGGAAGTAGTATTTGTGTCTTGGGAAAAGATTTTATGGCAATGATGAAAATGAACATAACAGAGTAAAATGCACTTAAAAAGAAAGCACGGAGATGAAGCAAAAATCAGGGTAAGGATGTGACATTCAGTAAGCATAAGGTTAAGGCTCGCTGTATACCAGGAGGTCCCACTGGCTCTGAGCTTCTCTCCGGTACCGGGAACCGAACTCACGACCTTGCACTTGCCAGGCAGGCGCTTTGCCGCTGAGCTAAATCCCCAGCCCCTGAGCTTCTCATGTGAAGAGGGAAATGGCAGATCTGAGGAACATGGTGCCCTTACGACAAATCCAACCCCAACCCCACTGTTCAGAGAAGGCAGTTACCCTTGGGAGGCCAGAAAGGTATTTCTCCAGTGAGTCCTTAATCACAACGGTGAACAATCTCATCATCTCCCCTTTCCACTTAGCATCGCATGGCCTGTTCACCTGTCGTGCAATTACCTGCTACAACCTGGATATTTCTGAGGACTAGAGATTCATCGTGCATATTCAGAGAATGAATGTTGGCAATTTTCAGGGTCTGGAGGTAAAGGGGACAGTAATGAGAAGAGATGCTGCTTTGCAGATTTGGTTAAAATTGTTCAGTGGACCTTTGGATTATATATGACAAAAGTTAAAATCTAACACTGGGAAGTCTGGGAAGGAGAAAACTGTTCTGCATAGTAACATAAAAAACGTCACCATGGGGGAAAATGCAAGAAGACTGGGGTGAGGGGACCAGGAGCATAGTTCATTTCTGCCAAGTTTCCAGCTACGATGACCACGATGACGGTGACGATGGACCCAGGGGTTTACCTGGGGAGGCAAACAGCCCACACTGGGACGGAAAGGGCCTTGACGATTCTGTTTTGAGCATGGATCTGGGACTCTAGGTACAGAGATGCTTCATTTCCAGGTCTGAGATTTTCTCTTCTGCTAATTCTTCTGGTCTTTGCTGGACTTGGGGGTTTTAGGGAGACACCAGGCTGAATACAGGCTGAATACAGAGCTAAAGGCAATGCCTTAAGCATATTCCCAAACAGCCACATTCCTACAGGATTTTAAGGTGGTTCACGCTATTTGCTACCCTGTGACTGGTAGGAAGAGCAAGGGGAAATCCTAGAGGAGTTGTCAGTGTGGAGATAAGATGGGGATACAGACAGAAGGGTCATCAAAGGCGGGTCACTGCTCTGTGAGCACCCTACCCTGCCAACGACCTTGACCATTAGGTTGTGTTGCTGGGGAGGGGGAATCCTTTGAGGAAATGTCAAGAGGGCCATGGTAGGAGCCTAGAGAGAGCTGTTAAAAAGGTTAAGACCTGAGGCACACAAAGAGAGGGTGGCTCAAGGTGCAACAACACCCAGGATTTGGAGGCAGATTTATTTACGTTGACGGGTACTGATCAGGATCATCCGTAGATTATCAGGCCCTGATCTCTGGTGGTCTTATGTGGGATAAGCAAGCAGGAAGTACAGAGGCAGAATGGCTTGTCAGCTGGGGATTGGTTCATTCATACAATGTGCATCACAGTGAACAGCTATGGATCACAGTGACCAGCTGTTTCTAAGAGACAGAAACAACCAGAACTGGAACAGGAACTATTACATGGGCAACTAAGAAACTGAAGCATTCTTCTGGGAAAATGCCCAGAACAAGAATAGCTGGGTCAACTGGGACCTCTAATCCTAGTTTTGTGAAGAATCTCCACACTGATTTCCACAGTGGTTTCACCAGTCTACACTCCCACCAACAGTGGAAAAGAGTTTCTTTTGCCCCACAGCCTTACCAGCATTTATTATTAGTTGATTTCTTGATGGTAGCCATTTTTTCTGGGGTGAGATGCAATCTCAGTGTTGTTTAAATTTGCATCTTTCAAATGAACAATGATGTTGAACATTTTTTCCTGTATTTATTTGCCATTTGTATTTCATCCAAGAAGTGTGCATTAATCTCAGATGCCCATTTTTAGATTGGGTCTTTGAATTTTGGGGGCCTGATTTTTTTGTTGTTGTTGCTTTTTGAGACAGGGTCTTGCTATGCAGTTCAGGCTAGCATTGAGCTCACTTTGTAGCCTAGGCTGGCCTCAAACTCACAACAATCCTCCTGCCTCAGCCTCCCGAGTGCTGGGATTACACGGTATGCGTCACCAAGCCCAGCCTTTTTTTTTTTTTTTTGGTACAGGGAATCAAACTCAGGACCTTGCACTTGCCAGGCAGGTGCTTATGCCGCTGAGCTATATCCCTGGCCCAGGCCTGATTTTTTAAAAGAATTATTTATATGTGGACGGAAGTCCTTTGTCTGATGGACAGTTGGCTAAAATTTTTTCCCTATTCACGGGTTTTCTTTTTACTTTGTTGATTTCTTATGATGTGCAAAAACTTTTCAATAAGATGAGATCTCAGTTGTTGATTCTTTAAAGTATTTCCCCTGCAGTCTGGTTTTCATGAACTCTCTGCCTACCCCTATGTCTTCAAGATTTCTATTTACTTTCTCTTCCAGTGGATCTAGTGTTTCTGTTCTAATATTTAGATCTTTGAACCATTTTGATTTTAGTGCATGGTGATAGACATGGCTCTAGTTTTAGTCTTCAGCATGTGGAGGGCCAGTTTCTCCAGAACCATTTATTAAAGGGGCTTTCTTCTAGTGAACATGGGTTCTTTTTTGTCTTTTTGAGACAAGGTCTTGTTATGCAGTTCAGGCTAGCCTCGAGCTCACTTTGTATCCCAGGCTGGCCTCGAACTTGTAAGGATCCTCCTGCCTCAGCCTCCCAAGTACTGGGATTACAGGCTTGTGCCACCATGCCTGGCTTCAGTGAACATGTTTGGCCCCTTTGTCAAAGATAAGATGGCTGAGGGTGTTTGTAGTTGTGTCTGTATCTTCCAATCTGTTCCACTTATCTTCAGGTTGTTTCTTTTTCTCTCCAGTACTACGCTGATTTTATCACAGTAGCTTTGTAGTATAATTTCAAGTCAGGGATTATGATACCTTTTGCCTTGCCTTTGTTGCCCAGGACTGCTTTTGATATTCTAGGTCTCTTGTGGTTCCAAATAAATTTTAGGAATGTTTTCTCTAGATCTGTGATATATATATAGATATAGATATAGATATATAGATATAGATATAGATATATATATATATTTTTTTTTTTTTCTTTTTCTTTTTGAGACAGGGTCTTGCTATGCAGTTCAGGCTGACCTTGAGCTCACTTTGTAGCCTAGGCTGGCCTCAAACTTGCAACAATCCTCCTGCCTCAGGCTCCCAAGTGCTGGGATTACAGGCGTCTGTGAGGTATATTAATGGTATTTTAATCAGGATTGCATTGAATCTGTATAACAGCTTTGGAAGTATGGCCATTTTCGCAGTGTTGGTTCTTCCAAACCATGAGCAAGGAATATCTTTCCATTTTCTGAAATCCTCTTTGATCTCTTTTTTCAGAGTAGTGTAATTTTCATTGTATAGAGCTTTTACTTCTTTTGTTAGGTTGTTTCCTAAGTATTTCATTTTTTTGGATGCTATTGTGAAAGTGTGGTTTCCCTAATTTCTCTCTCAGTGTGTTTGCTGTTTGTGTACTGGAATGCTATTGATTTTTGAGTGCACACTTTGTATCTAGCTATGCTACTAAATTTGGTTATTAAATCTAGAAATCTTTTGGTGGAGTTTTTGGGGTCTTCTATGTAGAATATCATGTCATCTGCAAATAATGATAATTTCACTTCTTTTCCTATCTTTATTCCTTTTATTTCTCTCTTGTCTA